AGTCGAATTTATTTTTTTCTTTCATTGTTTGTGCTTATGGTATTATATCTAAGAAAGTACTGCCTAATCCAAAGTCACAAAGAATGGGACGCCTGGGTGGCTCAGCAGTTGAGCATCTGCCTTTGGCTCAGGGCGTGATTCTGGAGTCCCGGGATTGAGTCCCACGTAGGGTTCCCTGCGAGGAGCCTGCTTCTGCCTCCCTCCACCTGTGTTTCTGCCTCTCTCTCTATGTCTGTCATGAATAAATAAATAAATAATTTTTTAAAAGTCACAAAGATTTATCCCAATGTTTTCTTCTAAGCATTTTAGAGTTTTAGCTCTTATATTTAGACCTGTGTTCCATCTTGAGTTAATTTTTACACGTAGTGTGCCCAGCTTCATTATTTCAGTTGTTGATATCCAGTTGTCCTCACACCATTTGTTGGAAAGACTTCTTTCCCCACTGAATTGTCTTGGCATTTTTGTCAAAAACCAGTTGACTGTAAATGCGAAGGCTTATTTTTTGGTCTCTCAGTTATATTCCACTGACAGACCTGTCTGTCCTGCTAGTGCCTCATTGTTTTGATTATTGTAGCTTTGTAATAAATTGGAAAATTGAAAAGTGAGAATCTATCAGGTCTGTTCTTTTGCAAGATTGTTTTGACTAGGAGCGCCTGGGTGGCTCAGTGGTTGAGCATCTGCCTTCAGTTCAAGTCATGATCCCAGGGTCCTGAGATCAAGTCCCACATCAGGCTCCAGCAAGGAGCCTGCTTCTCCCTCTACCTAGGTCTCTGCCTCTCTCTCCCTCTGTGTCTCTCATGAATAAACAAAATCTTTAAAAAAAAAAAAAAAGGTTGTTTTGACTATTCTGAGTTCCTTGAATTTCCATGTAAATTTAAGGATCAGCTTGTCAGTTTCTATAAGAAAAGACAATGAGATTCAAATTCAAGATATGGGGACGCCTAGGTGGCTCAGCGGTTGAGCGGCTGCCTTTGGCTCAGGGCATGATCCTGGGGTCCTAGGTTTGAGTCCCACATCAGGCTCCCTGTGTGTGGAGCCTGCTTCTCCTTCTGCCTGTGTCTCTGCCTCTATGTCCTCTCTGTCTATAAATAAATTTAAAAAAATCTTTGGGATGCCTGGGTGGCTCAGTGGTTGAGTGTCGGCCTTCGGCTCAGGTCATGATCCTGGAGTCCTGGGATCGAGTCCCTAATCGGGCTCCTCACAGGGAGCCTGCTTCTCCCTCTGCCTGTGTCTCTGTCTCTCTCTCTCTCTCTGTGTCTCTCATGAATAAGTAAATAAAATCTTTAAAAAAATCTTTAAAAACAAATTCAAGATATGAATGTATACATCTGTTTGAGAAATACTGCCATCTTATAAATTTTTTTAAAAGATTTATTTATTTATTCAGAGAGAGCAAAAGAGAGGCACAGACACAGGCAGAGGGAGAGGGAGAGGGAGAAGCAGGCTCCATGCAGGGAGCCTAACATGGCGATCCCGGGTCTCCAGGATCACACCCTGGGCTGCAGGCGGCGCTAAACCGCTGCACCACCGGGGCTGCCCGCCATCTTATAAATATTAAAGTCTTAACAATCCATGAACCTGGCTCTGTCTTTCCATTTATTTAGGTCTTGAGTTCCTTTTAGCAATGTTTTATAGTTTTCAGTGTACAAATTTTATGCTTCCTTTGTTTAATTTATTCCTAAGTATTTTGTTCTTTGTATGTTGTTATAAATGGAACTGTTTCCAAATACCATTTTTGGATTGTTGGTTGCTAGTGTATGGACATGCAGTTGACTTTTTTATTTTTTAAGATTTTATTTATTTATTCACGAGAGATACACACAGAGAGAGGCAGAGACATAGCCAGAGGGAAAAGCAAGCTCCTTGGAGGGAGCCTGATGTGGGACTCGATCCTGGGATCCTGAGATCAGGCCCTGGCTGAAGGCAGACACTCAACCGCTGAGCCACCCAGGCATCCCTGATTTTTTGTATATTGATCTTACATCCTACAGCCTTGGCTGAACACATTGATTAGTTCTGTTTGTGTTTTATATGTACTCTCTAGGATTTTCTATATACAAAAGTGTGTCATGAGTAAACAGAGATAGCTTTACTTTTTTTCTTTTCAACTAGATGCCTTTTATTTGTTTTTCTTGTCTAATTGCCCTGACTAGGATTGTATATTGCTTTTATAATAAAAGTTTTTTGAGAATCAAGTTTTTAAAACTCTTCAATTTATTTTTATTATTTTTTTATTTTTTGCTAAATGGCTGCCTTAGCAAAAATAAAATTGACACTAGTGCTTCTAGATCGTGGTTAAAAAAAACAGGTAGGACAGAGTGTAGTAGGGCTTCTTTTTCCATTCTGTGAGGTGGGGATTAGTGTGTCTTCTTTAATTCAAGGATAGGCTCAGTTTAGATTCAGGATGGGTCTATGTGAGATTTGCCTGGTATCTTTATTCTACTGGATTTCATTCCGTGAGTATCTATCTATTGTGTCTGCTGTGTGCCAGGGACCATTCTAATCATTGAGGGCGCAGCAAGGAACAAATCATCTCAGATCTCTGCTCATGTAGTATTTACAGTTTTGAGGATATGCATGTAGGAATTATGGGGCCCATGTTTTGGGTTAGATTGGATCAGTATTTACTAGAACTTTGTATAAACCAGGTAGTTGGTTGGCACACTACAAAATGCGGGATAGCTTTTTTTTTTTTTTCCAGATTTTATTTATTCATGAAAGACAGAGAGAGAGAGGCAGAGACATAGAGAGAGGGAGAAGCAGGCTCCTTGCAGGGAGCCCAATGCAGGACTCCATCCCAGGACTTCGGGATCATGACCTGAACCAAAGGCAGATGCTCAGCCACTGAGCCACGCAGGTGCCCCAGCAGGATAACATATTCTGTGAGATTTATGACCACATTTTTTTCTGTTACTTAGAGGAAGAGCTCGCCAATAACATGAACATAATTGTATATACATTATTTTAGCGTTTATTGTCACAGAACTTGTCTGCTCTGTTTAAGAGTCCTATGCCAGGCATCTTCAAAACTACCACTTTTTAAAAAAAAAAATACTACAGCTTAGTAGGGAGGGTGATAGGTAGAGAAGGAAAGCCGAGAGGCAGCATTCACTTTATACTGTTTGTCTTGCACTGTGATACTTTACCCCTCTTAATCTTCAAAATACCCTTTTAAAGTAGACATCATTACCACGTTTTACTGTGAGGGAGCTGATGCTTAGAAAAGTCAAATAATTTTCCAAATGTCACACCAATGCCATGTACCCAATCATGATATAGAATAAGAAGTGTCATAGTAAAAGATTTAATGCAATTTTAGGGGATCCCTGGGTGGCACAGCGGTTTGGCGCCTGCCTTTGGCCCAGGGCACGATCCTGGGGACCCGGGATCGAGTCCAACGTCAGGCTCCCGGTGCATAGAGCCTGCTTCTCCCTCTGCCTGTGTCTCTGCCTCTCTCTCTCTCTCTCTCTCTCTCTCTGACTATCATAAATAAATAAAAATTAAAAAAAAAAGATTTAATGCAATTTTATAAGAATTATAAAGAAGTGAGCAGCCTGGGTGGCTCAGCGGTTTAGCACAGCCTTCAGCTCAGGGCATGATCCTGGGGTCCTGGGATTAAGTCCTACATCAGGCTCCCTGCGTGGAGCCTGCTTCTCCCTCTGCCTGTGTTTCTCTGTCTGTCTTTCTCTCTCTCTCTCATGAATAAATAAAATCTTAAAAAAAAAAAAAGAATTAAGAAGAAGCAATGATAACTTCTGGTTGGATTCAGAAAGAAAGCCAGCGTGAATTTGAACGACAGAGATTCCAAAGATGCCAAGATAAGAGAAATTGCATTCCAGTTTTAGAGAGTCATATATATGTGTTCCATGTGTTCCATATATATGCAATTCCATGTGTTCTAAATATTTTCTTTGCAGTCGTCAGAGGTTGAAAGCCTGAACATCCAGCCTGTGATTGGATAAGATGCCTTGAGGGAGAACTTTGCTTGTCTTGTCTAAGAAGTGTGTCATGTGAATTGCTGCGGGCTGCTGTGAGGAAACAAGCAGGGTGCTGAGAAGGGCCGTTAAGGGCATGTACTGTAAAAGTCACAGACACTGATGGGGACAGACACTTTCTAAGAATATATTTGCTTTGTGTCAGGTCATTCAGACTAAGTGCAGTGAAGTCAGTGAGTTCTGTTCTTGGGAGACTCCAGTGTTGGATGGTTGTCTTTTCCCTGTTTCAGGGCTCTTGATCTTGCTCAGAGCATATGGGAGTTCCTTCTTGGAATTCCTCAGAAACCATGAGGAAGTCAAGCAAGAGCACTACATCAACAGTCCAAGGTGGTATTCGTCCAGCTCACTTATCCACCAAATTTGGTTCCAAATGGTATTTTCAGAAAATAAAACTTGCCAACACCAAGGAGTTTGTGGGAGAGAAATTCCCCCCTGGTGTTTTTTGTTTTTTTTTTTTATACATTTTTTTTCTTTTTTTTTTTTTTTAAGATTTTTTTATTTTATTTACTCATGAGAGATACAGAGCGAGAGAGAGAGAGGCAGAGACACAGGCAGAGGGAGAAGCAGGCTCCATGCACCGGGAGCCCGATGTGGGATTCGATCCCAGGTCTCCAGGATCGCGCCCTGGGCCAAAGGCAGGCGCCAAACAGCTGCGCCACCCAGGGATCCCCCCCCCTGGTGTTTTGAACATCATTACTACCTGCACCTAGAGGAGCAGTAGTTCAGAAGTGTGACTTCAGCAAGCATCTCATTTATAGGGACAAAAACCATAAGAGTTCTCTGGTGCTAAACAGACCTGCGTCCCTATATAAGCCCTCCCACTTAGCTTTGTGTGAGGCCTTGGGCAAAGTGCTTAGACTGCTTAGCTATTATACTTAGTCCTGCCTACCATATGCCCTGACTTATTGAATAATTCAGCTTGGATATTCACATTTTTGTGGGAAATAATAAATAACAATTCTGACATTAATAGTTTTTAAATATTTCTCTTTTTCCCCCCTCCAGATTTCTCTTTCCTAAATGTCTTGACCAGTGTTCACAAGGTAAGCAATATGTTTTATTTCCTGCTTTTGCATGCCTTTCAAATTCTGTTGTTATTTTTAAGATTTTATTTATTTACTTGAGAAGGAGAGAGACAGAGGGAGAGTGCACAGGAGGAGGGGGAGGGAGGGAGAAGCAGACTCATCACTGAGCAGGGAGCCCAATGTGGGGCTCAGTCCCAGAATCCTGGGATCACGACCTGAACCAAAGGCAGATGCTTAATCAAGTAAGCCACCCAGGTGCCCCTCAGATTCTGTTTAGATGCAACAGAGTTTTCTTCACATTCCTTCCTCTCATTCTAAAATCTAAAACAAACAAAATTGGTCCAGGAAAAACTTTGACATCTTTTTCTTTTATCATATTTGATAGGCAGACTTATTCCTGAGTTTGTCTCTTAAGATGATAAGCCCTGAGCTGGGCTTAAGTCTGCCCTGGCCTTCCAACTAATATCAACGGACAGAAAAGGTATTAGATATTCCTAGCTTCTAAATCAACAAGATCTTGATACACCTCTCCTGTCCCATGAGTGCATAGTGTGGTCCAATAGGACCTTCTCCCTTAATCCCCTCCTACACACACTGGAATTTTCCACACCTCCTTGGTAGTGTTTAGAAAAATCCACCCATCCTGTAGGTTATATTCAACCTTGTATTGTCCTCCCATCTGGCAACCCTGCCAGCAGCACTTTTTAGTCATATTAACTATGGTGCCTAGAGACCCAGAATAAATTCTGAATTTCCTGTACTGATGATAAAATGTTCATTGTTGTCAGAAGACCTGGGGTCTGAGCTTCCTGAGCCAGCCCAGCAAGAAGAAATCAGACAGAAGAAAATAACGTGGTGTCCCCAGCACAGTTTTACCCTCCTGATCCCATTGCCAGTCCACAGGGAGCAGAGACAACTGAGCATACCAGAGCTATTGTCTTGGGAAACAGCTGAGCTGGGTGCTGCACAGGACGGGAGCCGGGTCACTGGAGGGAGAAATGTATGTGTTGGACTGCTCTGCCAGGGAGTCTCAAGTCCAACTTTTAGAGGTCCTTGTTGCTTTCCAGGCAGTGTACCCCAGAAGCAGAGTGGAACGGAGGTGGCTGGGTCTACCCAAAGTATCCACTCCAGGTAGAGGAAGGAGATTTTTTGGAGGTTGGGGGATTAGGAACTGATGATAGACTAGATATGGGGCATGACTGGAAGAAAGAGGTATCTAGTATGATGAACTGCTTTAAGTCTTGAGGTTGGAAGTTTGGGAAGGTTGGTGGTACCTGTCCTTGAGATAGAAAGCATAGGCAAAAGCATAGACGGATGGGATAACCAAGGATCACTGTCTGGTCCTTGGTTGTATGTTTGCACGTCATGGTCAAAGCTAAGGGTATGGGCCATTAGTCATCCCCTGTCCATCACATGATTATTTCCACCCTAATGCACCTTGGCTTCTTGGCACTTTCTTCCTCAGTGCCCCTTTGTTTTTTTGCACACAAAGCACAGATGGTCAGACTGCCCTGGCAGAGAGCCTTGGGGAGGTGCTCTGTCTTCATTGTCTATGAACCTAGGCCAGTGTTATAGGAGGAAAGCCCTTTTAGGCCAAGACAGACTGGATTCTCTCTGGCATTTGGTAGACAAATTTCATTAACACTATTTACTCAGTGTTTAAAAGCAACTGTGTCAGATTCTGTGCATGTGTAAAGACAGGGATATGATCAGATGTGGGTAGATGACCTTGAGGCAATAGAAGCTGTTTTTTTGAACTCCAAATCACTTGCAGAGTGACAGTGTCTTAGTAATTATCTTACCTTTGCGTCTGGGCCCAAAGGACCCTATGAACTAGTCTGACCTGGCTTACCATGGGCATGGGCTGTCCAAGGAGGGAAGAAATAAAAGGCAAGTATTTCTTTTATCCTCAGAGATTTGGTGGCTAGCTTGGCGGTGGGATCTGCTACCAGTAGACAAACACTTCATGTCCTGAGGGAACATATTGCCTCCCTTTGCTCCTGTTCATGAGTCATGCTCCCTGATTCATTGCTTTTACAACAAAGGATTTTTTTACAATGAGAAAAGGACTATTTTGCAGCCCCAAGATGATGTGTGTTACAGAAATCCAAGGATTAGGAAATAATCTCAGCGCTTAACCAGCAAATAAGACTCAGTATAATGCTGATTTGAAAGAAGAGTGAAGACATTTTACTACCATGTCTTGCTTTTAGAAGTATCTATAGGTAATAAACAAACTGCTTTCTCCTGGGCTTCTTCTAGAAGCCTTTAGCCCATACTAGGACAGTCAGACCTCAGGTGTTTCTCCACTCTAGGGAATGGGCAGGCCAGGCTGCCCGCTCACTCACAGCCCAGACTGGTAAGACCTTGGCCAAATATAGGTATCCATTCTTTGATACAGAGCAGAAGGAAGCTCCTGGCCCAAGCAAGATGAAACTGTCCCCGGTGGCCTCTTCACCCTGTGCTCCAGATAACTGCTGTACCTGCCTCGCAGATGGCATTTCCTTTTGGCAGGTGGTAGTTTGCATAGCTGGCCTAAGGAATGCTGAGGATAATCCTTTTGCTTGTTTCCCTATAAAGCAAAGCCCCTTTTCTGTATCTAATTCCTGACCTAGAATCCCAACCCCACAGGGTTTATCTACATGATACTGATGAGGCAGACAGGACTTTGGGCAAGGTATCCATCAGAAATCCAGACCCCAGCCTTTTTATTTTTTTTTAATTTTTTTTAAATTTTTATTTATTTATGATAGTCACACACACAGAGAGAGAGAGAGGCAGAGACACAGGCAGAGGGAGAAGCAGGCTCCATGCACCGGGAGCCCGACGTGGGATTCGATCCCGGGTCTCCAGGATCGCGCCCTGGGCCAAAGGCAGGCGCCAAACCACTGCACCACCCAGGGATCCCGTGACCCCAGCGTTTTTAATGTACAGGACAGTTTTGTGCTTGTGACCCTGGTGCATGCCACTTAAGTTGCCACATTTGCACAAATCTGATTTTCCAGGTTTTTTTGCCCAAGAAGATACTAAACAAGAGTCCTAGGGCCTTTAAAAGTCTTCACTCAACTTTTACTGATTCCTTGCTGCAAGATCCATCACAACCATTCTTGTCTTCTACTCCTGGCAGTCTCCTGGGTCTCTTGCAGGACTCTGGCTCTTGTGTCTGCCACCTCTGGAATGTGCTGAGTCTTCTAGAACCCTGTTTTGCTTCCCCACTGTGCCACATTCTGGGTCTGCCCTCCTGACCTTGCCTTACTCTGTTTCCAGAGGCCCCAGTTAGGCCTTGGTGCAGCCATAGGACATGGAGGTCTAGCATTAGGCTCAGCAGGCTCACCCTCGGTGCTTCCCCTACAGCCTCCAGAGTGACATTTCTAAATGGGACTGAGTGCACAGGCACAACCAGTGTCACCTTCATTAGGATCCTTCTCTGACACTGGCTGAAGGATAGTACATCTTAATGTTAAAGCTTCCGAACAGAAATTTTTAAAATATTTTATTTTTTTTTAATTTTTATTTATTTATGATAGCACACAGTGAGAGAGAGAGAGAGAGAGGCAGAGACACAGGCAGAGGGAGAAGCAGGCTCCATGCACCAGGAGCCCGACATGGGATTCGATCCCGGGTCTCCAGGATCGTGCCCTGGGCCAAAGGCAGGCGCTAAAACGCTGCGCCACCCAGGGATCCCTTTAAAATTTTAAAACAGGGATCCCTGGGTGGCGCAGTGGTTTGGTGCCTGCCTTTGGCCCAGGGCGCAATCCTGGAGACCCGGGATCGGATCCCACATCAGGCTCCCGGTGCATGGAGCCTGCTTCTCCCTCTGCCTGTGTCTCTGCCTCTCTCTCTCTCTGTGACTATCACAAAAAAAAAAAAAAAATATATATATATATATATATATATATATATATTAAAACAGAATAAACAAAATGCTGACATATTCTCCATTTGAATTCCTAAGTCTGTGCTGTTACCACAACTAGGTCATATGTGGAGACATTGGGAATAGAGGTTTTGTGTGGAAGAGGCTCATAAGAAAAATGTGATTCTGTATATTCTTATATACTTTCATAGACTATCTGAGAAAGCATACCCCAAATCTGGTTGTCAGTGGTTGCCTCTGGGGAGGAGAACTAGGACTCAGGGTGCCAGAGGAGGAACAAAGAAGCTTGGTTTGAATACCTTTTTGTAGTTTATGAATTTTCTATCAAAAATGTATATATACCAGTAAGTCTTAGAAACCTTTCAGATGGCTGTTTGATGAATGGGATTTGCCCAGACTTAGAAGTGGGAAAAACTCTGGCATGTGAGTACCCACAGCTTAGCTGCTTAGAAGCTGCCCTGGAAATCAGGTTGCATGTATCTTTTATAACACTTGATTCATTTGTTCATTTATTCAGCAAATCTGTATCCAATGCCTGTAGCCAGCCCTGGGAGGTTGGGGAAGGCTTCTGGAAGAGGTGCTTTTCAAATTGTCTACAGCCTGGAGGAAGAGTTGAGCCAAAAAAGAGGAGGGGAAAGATGGTTCCAGGCAGAAGGAACAGCAATAGCTAAGGCCTGATGGTGACCAGAGCACACCCAGGGCTGAGGAAACACAGCATGGCAGATAGATCAGGCAGGCCAAGAAGTTTACAGTCATTGGAATGCATTGAAATGTTTTAAGTAGGGAAATGATATGATCAGATTTTGTTTTTTGAAAGAATGCTCTGACTACATTAGTTAGAATGAATTGTAGTAAGAGAAGCCTGAAAGTGCACAGAATAAGCAGTGGCCTAGCAAAGAGACCGGTAGTCTGAATTAGACTAACGGTAGCAGGGATTTCTTTAGCACTCACCAGGCCTGGAGGAAGACTCAGGTGCCTCCACAGCCCACATTTCGGGAACTGGGCAGCCTTTCACCAAGTGACAGGAGGAGGCAGAGCTGTACTTAGCACTTGGATGTCAAAGAAGACCATTTAGGAAACTCATCCTTGAATCCTGAGAGGTCTCTCAAACACTGTGCAGAGACCTAAGGGCAGCTTAGTAGCTGAGCACTAACAGATACCTGAGAAGAATAGGACCTACATCTCAGAACCAAGGAACTGATAGATACTCAAACTGTCCATAAGCACTTAGCGAGGAGGTTCTGTGCTCAGCAGGTGAGCTGTAAGTCCTGGTCTGGTGTCTGTGGTCCCAAGCACCTGGTATAACTAACTGTGTGTGTCTTTTCCCCATGGTAACAAGATTGGCATGAACCTCCAGATCCCTGCTCCCTGATCATGAATGCATCTGGACTGTTTATGAGGTTAGATTCAGTCTTTAGCAATTTTGGAACACTTTTTTCATTAGTATGAGTAGTGAGAGGAAGAAAGTATCATTTACTTCTGCCTCAGACTAGAGGATCCTGGAAGTCACCTTAAATCTAGTGATGGCCACTTGTTTAAACCATGGACTCAGCAGGCTCTACTGGTGGGAGTAACATGACCTAGCTTCCTGCTGGGATGCTGTGACACTGTGGCTGAAGATGGTCTATTTTAAAGCTTCCTAACAGAAATTTTTAAAAACTTTAAAATAGAAATGGATTTTGTCAGTCTGAGAAATGGATCCCCCCAGTGTACATGTAGAGGTCTCATTATTAGGCCGTTGCTCTGCTGACAGTGAGGATGGTGGTAGTGGTGTTGGCTGTAAGTTGCATTTAATGAGTTCTCACTATCTGTAGGTCCTGTGATAAGCATTTATTGATAACCTGCGGGTGTTACTGTTCCCATCTAACAGAGGAGGAAATTTGGCTCAGAGAGAAAGTTGAGCAATTTGCCCCTGATGTCATTCATTAGTAATTAGTGGAATGCCACTTCAACTCATGGTCTGCCTGACTCTAAAACCCGTGTTTTAATTTTTACATTATGCTTCTTTTTACATCTATGAAGAAGATAAATAAGACTGTGAGTCCTTATTTTAAATACCACCTGTGTTATTCATAGGAGCTTTTATAGTTTAGAGAAGGGGAGAGAGCCAGGTGGCATGAGGGAAGGATTGAGATGGTAAGGTAATAGGGAAGGTTTTAATGAAAAAGCAAGCTTTACCAAAATTAAAAAGTTAAAGAGCTTAAGTCAAAAAACAAGGTGCAGAACAGTGTAAGATGGAACTATTTGTGGAGAAAAAAAGGCATACACACATTTACTTGTGTATACAAAGCACATCCTGGAAGAAGATATCATAATAGTAATTGCCTCCAGGGAAAGGAATAGGTGGCTGGGGAGGAAGGTAATTTATTTATTTTCTTTGTGAAACCTTCTTTATATTGTTTGAGTTTTGCCCTCAAAAACTAAATACAGCTATTTGTTTGTTTTTTTAACTACACACTCAACTGAATTAGTATTAGTATAGAGTCTCTATACTGAATATTCATTATTCAGGATCCTACAATTACAAAGTCGAAGTCTCTGTAATTTAGAGATAACCACTTAGGAACTAATCATTTATAAAAGCTAGTCTCTATTAAAAAAAATTAATGTTGAGAATTTAATCTTAGATATAGAGTTAATGATAATACCCATGAGAATTCTATTACAAAATAAATATAAACATTGAAAATCTTGAAAACCTATAAATGAAATTCTATTTAATGAATAACAAGGAGGCAGCAGGAGATACTCTCTTTATATCTTCCAAAGTAGGAGATGAGTAAAGTTTAGAGTTGTAAAATCGTTATAAAGAGTGAAGTATATTCCTAGTATATAGTTAGTTTTAAAGGTATAAAAGCTTTCACTGGAGGGACTAAAATTACTAATATAACCAATCAGAATGTGATGGCAAAGTGGAAAAGAGCACTTTGAGATATACCAGCTTCCCCATCTGTCATGTAGGAAAGCTGATAGGTTTTGTCTAAAAGTGACATTATAAGAAACAGTGATTTAGATCTAGCAAAAAGCTATAAGTGGGGGGGCACCTTGGTGGCTCAATCAATTAAGAGGCCAACTCTTGATTTTTTTTTTTTTTTTCCCAACCTCGATTTCACCTCAGGTCCTGATCTCCAGGTATCTCCAGGTCATGAGATCAAGCCCCGTGTCCAGCTCTGTGCTCAACCCAGAGTCTGCTTAAGATTCTCTCTCTGTCTCTGGGTGGCTTAGTTAAATGGCCAACTCCAGGTTTCAGCTCAGGCCAGGATTTCAGGGTCCTGGCATGGAGCCCCCATTAGGCTCCATATTCAGCAGGGAGTCTGCTTCAGGATTCTCTATTCCCTACTCTCAGGCATTCTCTCTCTCTCTTTCTCTCTCTCTAAAATGAATTTAATTTTTTTAAAGCCTTATCTTTAAAAAAAAAAAAAAAGCCTTATCTCTCTCCCTCTGCCCCTATACCTTGCTCTAAGATAAATAAATAAATCTTTTTTTAAAAAGTTAAAGAAGAAAATTTTTAAAATCGTTTATATTTTAAAAGATTGAATCTATAGGGCACCTATAGGGAACCTGGGTGGTTCAGTGGTTGAGTGTCAGCCTGTGGCTCAGGTCGTGGTCCCAGGGTACTGAGATCAAGTCCCACATCGGGCTCTTCACAGGGAGCCTGCTTCTCCCTCTGCCTGTGTCTCTGCCTCTCTCTTCTGTGTCTCTAATGAATTAATAAATATTATTTTTAAAAAAGATTGAATCTATAAAAGAGATCTAGCTGCTTGTAAAAGCAACGTTATAAGGCTACACTCAGCAAAATCCATATTGTCAGAAATTTACACAGTTTTTCAACAAATTACAAAGAAATGAGACACTGAAGATTAAAAGAAAATTATGAGGTATATTAATGAAATACAATGTGTAGACTTTGGTTCCTGGTTTAAAAAATTAACTCTAAGAAAACATTAATGAGACAGAGAAGTTTAAGCATAGGCTATATTTTTTATATTGAATGTGTTACTTATTAATTTTTTAAAGGGTCCTTATTTTATGGAGATATATACTAAAATATTTTTGGATGAAATAATAGGATGTCTAGGATTGACTTCAAAATCATCCAGGGGGGGAAAAAAATCATTCAGGGGGTATGCCTGGATGGCTCAGCGGTTAAGCTCTGCTTTCGTCTCCAGGCGTGATCCTGGAGTTCAGGGATCAAGTCCCACATCAGGCTCCCTGAGGGGAGCCTGCTTCTCCCTCTCTGTGTGTCTCTAATGAATAAATAAATAAAATCTTTTTAAAAAATCATCCAGGGAAAAGGGGAAAAGGCTGGTATATGGTATGAAAGAAATACAGTTAGCTAAGTGTTGTTAATTCTTGAAGCCAAGTAATGGGCACATGGGAATTCATGGTGTTACTTTAAAAACTTTTGTGTATTTCTGAAGTTTTCATAATATTAATAAGTGAAGAAAAATAGTTGAATAATAAAAATGTAAGTGATCTTATAGTGGAAATGATGTATATGCTCTGATCATAACTATGTCAAAACAGGAATGAGTATGGAAGAGGTCTTATAATTATGGTGGCATGGTAGGATATGTTAACTTCTCTGATTTCCAGATTCTCTGTAGCATAGGTTTTCCTAAGGGTTGGGAGGGATTGTTACCCACTCCACAATCCCTCATTGTCTGCACCACTCTTCCTTACTGTATGACTATGTGAATATCTGTATTAGCACTTATCTTGGAATTTTGTATGTGTGTGTGAGTGACTCCTTGGCTGTGCACTCCTTGAGAATCTAATGGTGAGTTCCTGACATGTGGTTAGTGTTTGATAAATGTCTTTGGCCTAAACTGGTAACAGTGTGTGGCACAGGTTCCCAAAGAGGTTAAATATAAGGGATGTAGAAAGGGCCCTTTGATGAAGAAACTCCAGGTGTCAGCTGGAGAGCAGAATTGAGAAAGTAGAGAAGGTTAAGAAGTGAGGCAGCTACAGGGTTGAGGTCATTCACTCCAAGAAGTGGCAGTGACAGGGGTGCAGGTGTTGGGGGTCAGGGGTGTCAACTGGAAGGGATGATCAGGGAGGGAGCAATGGCTCATTTGTGTGAGCCCTCAGCCCCAGTCAGGAGTCCAAAGCCTGAGCCGTTCTTGGTTTTATTCCCCAGGCCTGGTGAGTAATGTGGTGTTCACCAGTCACACCATGGAGCAGAGGCACCCTCTCCTTGTGCAGCTGCAGAGCCTCATCAGGGCTGCCAACCCTACTGCAGCCTTCATTCTTGCAGAAAATGGGATTGTCACCAGGTAAACTTACCAAGTTTACTTTATCCTATAGGACCAGCCACTTTCTCAAGGCAGAACCCTGGCAGAATGGCCCATAGGGTCTTTCATTTGTATCTAAGACCTACACATTTATATAAGTGCTTTTGATGTTGTGTAAAAATCAGCAAGAGGACCTCATGTGTCCGTATCCTGTACTGTTTTGAAATACTTTGTTTTGTTTTTTAAGATTTTGTTTATTTAGAGAGGGAGAGAACATAAGCAAGGGGAGGGACAAAAGGAGAGAGAATTCCAAGCCAACTCCATGCTGAGCACAGAGCCTGACATGGGCCTCTATCTCACGATCCTAAGATCATGACCTGAGCTAAAATCAAGAGTCAGAGGCTTAACCAACTGAGCCATGCAGATGCCCCAAGATTTTATTTTTAAGTAATCTCTGCACTCAACATGGTGCTTAGACTTTTAACCCAAGACCAAGAGTTGCATGTTTTACCTGGGCCAGCCAGGTACCCAGAGATATTTTATTTTGATACATTCACATTTTCATGCCTTCAAAGGATGAAGTCAAGACTCTTTCAATATTCCTTGTGTTAAGATGTGAAAGAAATGTCCAAGAGAACATAGAGAAATGACCTTTTTACTTCATGGACTTAAATCCAAATTACAAATTAAAAATAGAGAATTGATTGACTTTGTGTGTGTGTGTGTGTGTATGAAGAGAAAACATTTGGTCATTTAGCATATTTATTTGCTCAACAAAGATACACCAAAAGGTATATATTTTTATATAATTTTGACTTTGAGCAATGTAAAATATTTTACATATTCAGAAATTAAATTAACCAAGAAGGGTAAAACTAAAAACAAAAAAGTGAATCCGGGGCAGCCCCGGTGGCGCAGCGGTTTAGCACCGACTGCAGCCCAGGGCATGATCCTGGAGACCCTGGATCGAGTCCCACATCAGGCTCTCTGTATGATGCCTGCTTCTCTGCCTGTGTCTCTGCCTCTCTCTCTCTGTCTCTATGAATAAATAAATAAAATCTTTTAAAAAAAAAAAAGTGAATCCATCTGTAGATCAAAGTAATAACAATCATACACACACACACACACACACACACCAATTAATTAAAGTAACTTTTAAACATAATCCTCTGTTGGAATCCTGATTTCAAACAACATCACTTGTTAGCTAAGAAAGATTATAAATATGAAATGAGAATGGTGAAGAAAAACCCTGTGGAGGGATCCATGGGTGGCGCAGCGGTTTGGCGCCTGCCTTTGGCCCAGGGCGCGATCCTTGAGACCCGGGATCGAATCCCACGTCAGGCTCCCGGTGCATGGAGCCTGCTTCTCCCTCTGCCTATGTCTCTGCCTCTCTCTCTCTCTGTATGACTATCATAAATAAAAAAAAACATAAAAACTTAAAAAAAAAAAAGGAAAAAGAAAAACCCTGTGGATGGTGGATTTGAATTGTGGAAGTCAATATAAATTAATTATTTCAAAACAAATGTATATTTCCTAGCTCTTCCCATTGAAAGGGATCAGAAATATTAATACCACAGTAGAATAAACACCTCTACCGCCAGATCTTGGTTTCTATATACCAGTTCCCAATATAAGGTATCAGGACTCCTTGGAGAATTGGCTGATTGCAGGTTTAGGGCAGGGAAAGTCCAAGGTGAACCTGGTACATTTCGTGCTAAAAAAGCAAAAAGGTACCCAAAGGTTAGTAGAGATATATCAAAACGATACTGGAGCTAGCTCAAGAAGCTCTCACTAGCCAAATTTGGGACAACTTAAGTATAAGAGAAAACAAATGTAATATCAAATTATAGCATATGATATAAAATGAGTCCATGGTGATACTAAAAAAATGAGGACAGGCAAGATACAAATCTCTTTAAACACTAATAAATAAATAAATATTTATAGAACTAAAAAGTCACCACTTTGTAACTGTTGGTATAATATAGTACTTGATCTAGGCAAGAATCATCAGTGGATATTAAGAGCATGGGTGACAGATTATTGATGAAAAGGATATGAACTGGTCTCAAAGTATCACTGCATGGACCACTTCGTGCTTCCAGTGAGAGGAAAGTACCTTCACAGTGGAGAGATCTAGTAGACATGACGTTGACTACGTGATTAAACTTAGCAAGATCACTAAGTGGACAGACTGACATTATGTGCCTCCTTCGTGTGATGCTCTGGAAAGGACACAACCTCACCTGGATATTAATCTTACCAAAAATGTTTGACTGAATCTAACCATAAGAAAAGAACCAGACAAATCCAGATTGTGGGACACAATGGCACCGGTTTTATATCGTCAAAAACGTCAGCTCCATGAGAAACAAAACAAAAATTGGAAGAATTATTCTATCTTAAAGGGAAATAGAGATTATAAATTCGATAAGCATTCCCTGATTGTATCCTGGGTTGCCTTTCTGGCAAAACAGGGAAAATTTGAAAATGAATTAGATTTGTACTTCTCCAACTTTAATGTGCATATAGATCTCTTAGGATCTTATAAAAATGATAATTCTAAAAAAAGAAAAAAAAAGAATTCTGATTCAGTGGGTCTGGAATGGGACCTGGGATCTTGTGTTCTGATGAGCCTCCGGGTGTTACCAGTACTGCTGGTCTACAGTATTAAATTCCTTGGGTATGATAATCATAGTGTGGTTCTAAAAGAAAATGTCTTTGTTCTTAGGAGAGGTATACTTTAGGTGTGTGGTAAGAGAGAAGAGTGGATGCGTATGTGCTGTGCTGGTGCATCTGTGGAGAGGAGGAAGCAAAATGGGTAGATGAAGATTGATTGTCCTAGTTAACCTGGGTTTTTCTGTATGTTTTCAAAGGAATGAAGACATTGAGCTGATTCTCTCAGAAAATAGTTTTTCAAGTCCTCAGATGCTACGATCTCGATATTTAATGTACCCTGGCTGGCAAGTATCATCACTGAAAAGTAACTAAGATTTCTTTGTAAATGCAACGACTTAATCATTTACAGAAAAAAAGAAAGTGACATTTCAAGTGTTCTATGAGGGTGGGATGGCCTGCCATGTCCCTTCAACTGCTGGTCTTTTTTTTTTTTTTTTTTTTTTTTTAATTTTTTTTTTAATTTTTATTTATTTATGATAGTCACAGAGAGAGAGAGAGAGAGAGAGAGAGAGAGGCAGAGACACAGGCAGAGGGAGAAGCAGGCTCCATGCACCGGGAGCCTGACGCGGGATTCGATCCCGGGTCTCCAGGATCGCGCCCTGGGCCAAAGGCAGGCGCCAAACCGCTGCGCCACCCAGGGATCCCTCAACTGCTGGTCTTACCAGTAGCCCACTGCTCCACACATCTTGGGCTCCAACTTGGGAGCCTTACTGGATATTGAGACTTAGGGAGTGGCCCTGTGGGCACCAAGCACACCGTGTCCTTTGTTTCCTCTAGCCTCTAGTGAGGGTGAGATGGCTGGCCTGGAACCAGGGAGTTATGGCCAAAGAGTTGCTTCTGAGAATACAGTGAGTCCTCTGAGGGGTCCCCCCTGACAGGTAGGCTCCCTGCCCTTGTGGCCCAGGGAATGTTTATTCTCTCCTGCAGACTCCCAAGTACATGAACCTCTCCTCCAAAAGGGAGAGGAGGAGGAAAGAGTGCCAAGGGTACTGTAGTCATGCCAGTGCCAGTATAACTTGAGCACTCACTGTGTGCTACACATTGTTCTAAGTTCCCCAGGACAGTAGCCACCAGCCACATTTGGCTATTTAATAAAATGTAAATTAACAAAAATTAAGTAAAATCAGTCTCTCAGTCATACAAGCCACACTTCAAGTGCTTATTAGTAGTTACCTGTGGCCAACAGCTACCACATTGGACAGCATAGATCCAGAACATTTCCATCACAGAAAGTTCTGTTGGAAAGTGCCCTAAGAGCTCTATCTGTGTTATCTCATTAATCCTCAAACCAAGCCTATGAGGTAGGGTCCATTATTTTCCTTCTTTTAAGGATAAGGTAAGTGAGGAAGTGAGGAGTTAAGTGGCATATTCAAATTCATACAGCCAGTAAGTGTGAAAGAGCTGCATTTCAAATGCAGCTTGTGTGACTCCAGAGCCCTCACACTATGTTGTGCTTGTCTCTGTATAGAATGGATTGTTCTGCTCTCTTGAAAGTTCTGGGAAGGGATCCCTGGGTGGCACAGTGGTTTGGCGCCTGCCTTTAGCCTAGGGCGCGATCCTGGAGACCCGGGATCGAATCCCGCATCGGGCTCCCAGTGCATGGAGCCTGCTTCTCCCTCTGCCTGTGTCTCTGCCTCTCTCTCTCTCTCTCTCTCTCTCTCTCTCTCTCTGTGACTATCATAAGTAAATAAAAATTAAAAAAAAAAAGAAAAAAGTTCTGGGAAAGACAGTTACTAAAGCTTGGCCAAACATATTCTCTTATGTTGATTTGGATTATCTTTGTTATCCTTACTCACTTCCCCCAGACACCTCTCTATGTCTTCCATATCACCCCTTTCATCACCAGTGTTTTATACCAGCAAAAAACTGATTGCACTATGCTGATAAAACAAAAAAATCCAGTTTGTGAAATTGAAGATTGAGGCATATTCTTAGAAGGAACATCCGATTTGAGTTACATCATACTTGCTTAAATAGTGGGTAGGTGGATCATTTCTTATGCCTGAACAAGACAATTATATCTTAGCTAAAAAGAAACAGATGGAGCTTCTGAGGTGAAACCTTCCTCTCCAGTGACTGCAGTTACTGACCCTTTTCCTGCCACACCTCTGGGCCTGGTCGTGAGATTCCTGCTGTCTCCACCTAGTGCCTAGTAAAGCACCCATTCTCTAGTCCATGGTGACTCATTCTGGGCATCGTGCATGTGACCCAGCTCAGGGCACAGACTTTCCTGGAGGTAGAATGATCCAAGAGAGAGCCAGGTATAAAAGGTTCATTAGAAACCTCTATGAATCTAAAGTCTGAAGCCTTATCTTTACCAGGAAGATCAATGCTTATAGAGAATCAGAGATGGAGGGGCCTTAGAGTCACCCTTCAGGCTCTCCCCCTTCTGAATCCCTTCCTAGGATTCAGATAATTTAATCTTTTAACAAGGTGGCAGCCATGAGACTCCTACATATCCCTGTATATTTTTCCCTTCCCTCACTGAATCAGGACCCACCACCTCAGAGTGAATAGCTCTGGATGTGCTCAGCTCTGTGCTGTGCAGATTCTCAGCCATTCCCCTCCCACAACCCTCTCTGTGCTCATCGACCCATCCCCATCTCCTCTGGTAGAAGGCTTATTTCTAGTTTTGCAAGAAACCTTCACTTTTCCCTTGGCCCCTCCCAATTTCCTTAAGGATTCAGGCCCTGAACAAAGAGCCAGAGAAGCAGATGGTCTCCCGTGACTTATTTAGGTGGGGAGAGGGCAAGTGAACATGTCAGTATTACAAAATTATCATGCCAGCACCTTACTTTAAAGAAAGCATAAGGAGTAAGCTATTCTCAATACATATGATGTAAAATTCAAATCGGTAGAGCTATTTTAAAGCAAAGGAAACTAATAAGAAAATATAATGGACTGGAAGAAAATGTTCCCATCATATGTGGCAAAGCATTAATATAATATTTGAGAAGCTTATTTTGATACCAAAGAAAAACAACCCAGTTCATATAGATGTGGACAGTTCACTTTTTTTTTTTTAAGATTTTATTTATTTTAGACAATGCATGAGCAGGGAGAGGGACAGAGAGAGAGGGAGAGGGAATCTCAAGCAGACTCCTCTCTGAGTGTGGAGTCCAAGCAGTGCTCAATCCCAAGACCCTGAGATCATGACATGAGCTGGACCCTTAACTGACCGAGCCACCCAGGTACCCATGGACAGTTCACTTTAGAACAAATATAAATGCCAGCCATGATAACAGAATTCCATTTTAGTAATATTCAGAAATGTAAAATGATGGCTTACTGTTGTTTTGATTGACACCTGTAACACTTAACCAAAAATATCTATAAGAATCATTGCTGGGGGAATTGTTGTGAAACTGAAACACTCTTCTATTGGGAGTGGTGTAAATTATTACCCATGAGGTGGTTACAACCTTTCCTGGATTGATTCTATCATGGGGATTCATCTCAAAGAATAATTCAAAAAAAATGACAATTCCATAATTTTGGAAGTTAGGTGTTGGGGATTTATTGCACTCTCTGTCTTTGCATGTCTTTGAAATTTTCCATAATATAAACTTAAACTTTTTAAATGCTCTAATATGGCATGTTCTTTTTTTTCTTTTTTCTTTCTTTTTTTTTTTTAAGACTTTCTTTAGGGGTGCCTGCCTTCAGCGCAGTCATGATCTCAGGGTCTTGGGATCAGGCCCTGCATCAGGCTCCCTGCTCAGCAAGGAGACTGCTTCTCCTTCTCCCTCTGCCATTACCCCCGCTTGTGCTCTCTGGCTCTCTCTGTCAAATAAATAAGTGTGAAATCTTAAAAAAAAAAAAAAAAAAAAAAGACTTTTTTATTATTAAGTGATCTCTATACCCAGTGTGGGGCTTGAGCTCACAACCCCAAGATCAAGAGTCACATTCTCCACCAGCTGAGCCAGCCAGGTATTCGTGAACTTGTTAATAAGTCTGTGGTTGGCATGAAGTCTGCTGAATTCAAAACAGAAAGTAGAGCAGAGGTGCCCCAGCTCTTTAGTTCCTTCTGGAAAGTGTGCACATCCAAATGTACAGTCTGTTAAACTGCCCTCAGCAATGGTGGGATATAGTTGAGGCCCTGAGGAAGAGCTCTAAGGGTGTCAGCCCCAATCTCAGGTGGCACACTGGTAGGCTTCAAAGATAGATGACCTGCGGTTCTATGTGCAACCATGCTTCCCAGTCTCAAGCTGAAAGAGACATACACGTATTTAAAACAAGTGTTTTGTACCCAAAAAGGCACATAAGAAACAACCCAAATATTACAGGATAAATGATAACGTAATTCATCCCAGAGCAGTATATATAACAAAACTCAAAGCCCCAATTACTTGTACTTAGAACTTTTTAAACCTTTTAGGTATGAAGGTAAATTTGATGCTGGATCAGTCTTTCCACTGATGGTTCAAATCTGCGTATGGTTTGGTCGCCCCCTGGAGAAGACTCGCTTCGTGGCCAAGTGTAAAGGTAAACCTTGATTGACATGTCTCAGACCCTGATAAAACAGTATCACAGAGTTGTTCCTGCTTCCTGGTACCATTTTAGTATTACGTGTGCTATGTTTTCTGTTCACCATTAGGGTCCAAAAACAGGCAGAGGGATTTGAGGACCCGGGAGTGCCCCACCCCTGGGAATAGTGGCAGAGCCCCTGCGGAGGGTCTGATAGAGGGAGAACCTGTGAGCCCAGGTTCCTCTAGTGGGAATCCTTCCCAGTCCCAACCCTCCCAGCTGTGTGCCCTGAACTTGTCCTCTTCTTCCACCAGCAATTCAGTCTTCCATCAAGCCAAGTCCCTTCTCTGGAAACATCTACCATATCCTGGGCAAAGTGAAGTTTTCAGGTAACTGGGGAATTGGATATGGGAGTCCTGAATGCTCATATCTCATGATATGGGTTCATAGCTTCCCACAGATGCTGGTCAGACTCTCTCAAAAACCCTCCCATCTGGGCTTGACACCAGTGGCTTTTCTAGCCCTCCCCCCCACCCCCGCACCTTTCTGTAGATCCTGCTCCACAGTGGAGGATATGTCCTATCTTCCCCTGGATGGCCTGCTTAGGACCTCTCCTCACAGCTCCTTGACTTCCTTGTTCCAGAGACTCGCACTTCCCCCAACCCCTTCAAGCCATCCATGGCCTCTTAGACCTCTTACTCGGAGCTGCCCCAGTGCTAAGCTCTTCAGCTCCATATCCATTGCTGCCAGAGTTTTCAAGGCTTCACTTGCCTTCTCCCTATTTATCAGCCTTAGACTTCTGGAACCCTCATGATCTGAAGTCTGTCCATCCTGGGCTGGAGATCAGAGAAGGCCTCAAAACAAGGAGTTATTCAACTCAACATTGAGAAAGGGGAGAATATTCTGGGGAAAAGGCACAGCATGTGCTTTGGAACCATGGCACATTGCAAGAACCAGGAAGGGTTCACTGTGATTGACACCTAATGGGAATATCTCTATTAAGGCATTTTTAGCTATTATAACAGAAAACCTCAACTCAGCTAGCAGGTGTTAGCAAGGCCACAGAGGACACAGGTAATATGTATTATTCTATTCTGATGTGTCAGCCTGCCCTCAGGTTCCCACCTCTCATTGCCAGGTAGTTCTACAGGTCTAGGTGTCATATCCAAACATAACACCCACCTGATAGGATAGGCTCTTCCTGTGGGTGGTTTTATCAATACTGACACCAATTATTGAAACACCTCCTGCCACTTCTCCACAGACTTCTCTCTTTGGCCACAGTTGAGTTGCCATGACTTCTAGGGAATTAGTATTGGAGGAAGAGTGGGATGCTGGCAGGCAACCATCAGTGTCTGCCATAGGGAGTCACTGAGAGTTGTAAACATGGAACCATCTGAGTTCAGATGAAAGATGACACCAAAAAAAAAAAAAATAGATGACATCACCCATACAAAAGAATCTCTCAGGGTCCTTAACTCATGCCTTTGGCCTAATTTATGTTACTGATTTTGAAACTTTGGCCCCATACTCAAGCCTACTTAAGCTCCAATAGAGTCCCCCAGTTGCTTCAGAGGTCATAAAACCTCCTTCCCTCTCTCACCCTGTATTCCTCTTTATTTAGACCTTCTCTTGGCCCCTTTCTTATTTAAGTTATTCTCTCTTTGTTTTAGATCCCTTTCTCACCCTGCTTTTTAGGGGGACCTTGCCCTTATGTCTCCAGTCTAAGAAGCCCCTGGCTTCTCAGTCAATAAGCCCAGTCCCATCTCTCCTGTTCCTATCACATGACCCTTCTGCAGCACTTGTATGTTGACAGCCTCTTCCCTTGGCTTGTCTCAGGCCTCCACTGAGACCAAAGGGGCTTTCCTCTCATAGTACCCTTCTGTTCTAGTTCTGGGCTAGTGATGTCCACCTGATTACCAAATCAACCAAGCCAGAAATTTACATTGCTCCTCCCTCTCTTACTTCCTCTTTTCTAACTTGACACCAATCATGGCAGTTCTCCCTCCTGCATATGTCACAGGAATCTGTCCCCAACCATCGACACATTACATCTGAGTGTAGCTTTATCCTTTCGGGACTCAGGAACTCCGTGTGTTCTCCTTGCAGACTCTGAGAGGGCCATGGAGGTCTGCCACAACACTCTAGCCAATTCTCTGAGCATTGTCCCGGTTTTGGAGGGACCCTCACCACCGCCCGATTCCAGAAGCACACCTCAAGATAGCAGCGGGCAGCAGGAGTGTTACCTTGTGTTCATCGGCTGCTCCCTGAAGGAAGAAAGTGTCAAGGACTGGCTGCGGCAGTCAGCTAAGCAGGTGGTTCCCAAAGCCCAGATACATTTGGCACAGATGTGCCCAGCACACCCAGAGCTGCTCCTGGCCTTGGGCTAGGAGCCCCTCCGTGACCTCTCTCCTGGTCTGCCTGTCACAGGCTCAGCCAGCACTTTCAGAGATGCTTTGAGAGTGAGAGGAAGCCACTCAGGGTAACCTCAAGGCAGACCTATTCTTACAGCCATTTCTAATTCTTTTGCTAAGGCAAATTGCAGTTATTAGGTGTCTTAACCGGGACCTGGGTGAAACCTCGTGGTTCCATGTGGATCCTGGGTGAGCCTGGTGGTCTGAATGCAAAATATCTTTTCTTAGCTGAACCTAATTCAGAGACTGTCCTGTGTTCTGAGCCCAGAATCCTTCTATACTTGGGTACTCTCTCTAGAAAAGAGAGGCCACAAAGATATGCTTACAACGATTTGCAAACCAAGACTTCAGGGATTGATAGCAGTGAGCCCAGGGCCCTAGAAACAGGTGCAGGGAAGAAGATTCTTACCTGTAGAGGCCCACAAGCATCTTTAGCCCAGTACTGCAAAGAAAAATAAAACCCAGACTGGAATTAAAATCCTCTAATATGAGACACCTGAGTGGCTCAGTGGTTGAGTGTCTGCTTTTGGCTCAGGTTATGATCCTGGGGTCCTAGAATCAAGTCCCTCATCAGGCTACCCACAGGGAGCCTGCTTCTCCCTCTGCCTATGTCTCTGCCGCTCTCTGTGTCTCTCATGAATAAATAAAAGCTTTAAAAAAATCCTCTAATATGATACAAGTCTTGGGTGCTAGGCCTCTTAGCACAGCCTCAGGGGTTTACCTTGACTTAGAATTCTGGAAATAGTGTTGGTTGGGCCCTGCCTGGATCCTTTGTAGATGCTTAGTTGAAACCTGTCTGTTATACTGAGGAATGGCTACTTGTAGGCTATGTCTTTCTCAGATAAACTGGATGAACTCCTAAATAGTTGACCAGGGGACTTCCTTTTGTCCCTTTGTCTGCGTGTCTGGCACTGACAGGGTTTAGAGTCGAGGATCTGCTATTTGCAAAAGCACTAGTGTTTCCTCTGCTGCTTGTTTGCCCTGGCACACAGCGTTCTGTGGTAGTAAGCGGTCTCCTTAAGGGGAGACAGTCAGGATACTGTGTCCAGGCCATAAGAGTGCTTATGCTTGTCTTTCCCTGCTTCTGGGATCTTAGTCATGTAACTGGTCCCCAGAGCCCTGAGCCCTCACCTGTTCATGTACTTCCATCAGCTCTGTTGGGACCTGACCCCTCCCTCCCTATATCTCTACACAGAAGCCTCAGAGGAAAGCCCTGAAGACCAGGGGGATGCTGACCCAACAGGAGATCAGGAACATCCACGTGAGTCCCCTAAGAAACCCAGAGCTATCCTTCTGGGCTGGCACAGTTCCATCCTTTAGGATCCCCTGAGTGAGGGAGCTCTTTGTAGGGCATTCTGGAGGTCTTGCTTCTCCCAAGCCATAGAGGGAAACTGGGTGTAGAGGAACCTTAGCCCATCCAGCCTTGTAGCCTGAGAGAGGAAGAGGATAGAATGACCTCTCATGTGACCTGGGCATGAGATTGAGGAGAAGCAGTGCCTGTGGGAGGAAGGGATGATGTGAAGTCCTGTTTTGACATGCTGTTGAAGTAGGCACAGAAGTCCTTTCTCCTCCCATCCATCTGTGCTAGATAAACCACAGATAAAGCAACAGGGCCCAGGAAGAACTCAAGGTCCAGAAGCTGCTGATAAGCAGGTGGTAGAATCTTGGAACCAGCAGGAGAGGCGCTTTGATGACCCCCATCCCAGCCTCTTCCCCAGTCCTCACCTCACTGGGGCCTTTTCCTGAGGGGTTTGGAGGCAAAGGCTAAAAGGGACAGAGTCCAGGCTCCAGCACAGGCTGTATCACTTCCCGTAGTGTAATGAGTGAATGGGAGAGGATCTGGGACTCCAGGAGCACCTGCTTTGGACTTGAGGAGGTCCCTTCATATCCAGCTTCTGTCCTGCGCAACCCTGGGTGCTCTGGAGAAGAGACTGTGGGTACCTCAGAAGGCAGTCCTTGTAGTCCTTGTTGCTCCAAAGGAACATTTGGAGCAACATGGATTTGAGTACAAGTAGCTTACTTTTGGAAGTGATTCTAGGAGACACTAGCAGGGACGTGGGAAACTAAGGGAGAGAATGAAGGAGAGACAGCTAACGAAGGGTATGTTATCAAACCAGTACCACTGAGGACAAGTGGAGCTTAATCCCGTGAGGAGCTCCCAGAGTTCCTTCTGTCAGTTACTCTGTGAGGACTGCTGTGGGAGCCATTTCCTCACATGTCTAGCCTTCCATGGGGCAGAATGGGCTATCATGCTAAGGTCATAGGCTTGTTTATTTGTCTCTAATAAATAAGCAATTGATAGAAAGTGGTCAGATCATTTTAACAGGACTCTTTTTTCCTACAGGTGAAACGCCACCTGGACCCCCTGCCCGCGGGCTATTTTTACAATGGCAGCCAGTTTGTCAACTTCTTTGGTGACAAGACTGATTTTCATCCACGTATCCTTAGAATCTATGGTGGGAAGGTTGGGGGTGTGTGGAAGCCTGATCATAAAGAGGGTGGGTGTCTGCTGGAGCCACAGCAACCTAACCCCTAGAGTAGGCTGCGTTCTGGGAACACACAGCAAGCCACAGAGGCAGGCTTTTCATTTTGGCCTTCTAATGTCATTAACAATAATTTTGCCTTCATTCAGCGATTGCTAATACACCTGTGGGTTGTAGTTTAATGTAGCTGTGGTGACATCCTGCGTTCTGGGTTGTAGTTTAAATGTAGCTCTGGTGACATCCTACGTTCTGTGGTCATCAGGATCATAATTGACAAATTGGAGACTAGATGTGATTACAATAGTTAACCTGTGAGAAAATGGACAGGAGTCCTGCTGTGTGCTCATGAATGCTGAAGGGCTCAGCACTAGCGCCTCAAGAAGGAACCTGTGCCAACCCTGACCTCTTCTCTATAGCTGTGGTGCTGCCAGTATATAAAAAAATCCCAGTAGGTAGGCTTTGTGTGGGCTGAGCACTCACCTGCCCACAGATCCCTCTGGGCCTGGGCAGTCTCCCTTGTCCTCCTGGCACAGGGCTCTCTTCCTTAATGAGATGCCAAGTTATGGACCAGTTCATGAATGACTATGTGGAAGAAGCCAACCGGGAAATCGAGAAGTATAACCGGGAGCTGGATCAGCAGGAGTACCATGACCTCTTTGAACAGAAGCCCTAGGGGAAGGCTGGGCCATACATACTGCAGAATGTTCACCCTAAAGGTGGACGTTCAGAAATGGGGTTACTGAACCTCAGCTCTCCCAGAGGCCCCTCCCTAAAGGGGCTGTCCTTGTTCTTCTTGGCCTTTGTATACTGGCTTGAGTGCATGTTGTCTTTATTTCCACACAGCGCTGAAGAGCATCACCTGCACCACTGATAGGGGGTGGGGAGGTGGGGCTCATGGAGGATACAGATAAGGACTGCCCTGTGTATGCGGCTGGCAGCCCAGAACCTCTTGGTCTCTCGTCACAGTACCTCCTTTGGGCTATTGAGGCACTGTGACAGAGAGCAGCATTTGTACACAGAGGAGCTTTTGGGATGTAGAAGGAACCCTGGCTGCCTGAACTGTGGCCATGCCTAGAGGACCAAGCCACCACAAGCTTTGGGCCTCAGACACTGCCCCAGGAGAACTGTGTTCCCAGTGGAATGCCTGCCTTCCCACTTAGGCCCCTTGCATTGAAGGAGCTGGCCCTGCTGGCCCTGGGGAGTAGCCCCAGGGGAGTAGCCCAAGCCCAACCCACAGAGCCACAGCTTGGGCTGAGGTCAACAGCTTATTCTAAGATGAAGGGATGTCCCCTTATAGACTGAGGGGAAAGGCATGTTGCTTTCCAGAGGCATGAGGCTTTTGAATTATTATAAGCAGTCTCCCTGGAGGTTGGTTTTGTGCTCCCCTCATGGCATCACTCTGGTTTGCCTCATTCAGCCCTTCTGATGATGCTTCACCTTACTTTTCAGGGGAGCATCTTGCAACTGCTTACTCTTAGTCCCAGGGCTCTGATCACTTGTGGAGCCTCCTTGAAGGGGGCTTACTCTCCAGCAGCCAGCCCTCACTTGAGCCTTGCCAGGGAAGGCTTGGTCTTCAGCCACAAACTTCAGGAAACTTATGTCCCCAAGCATTGTTTCAAAGAATTCCAATATCCAGTTGAGAAAGCCTTCCAGTGGCTTTGTTTTCAGCTGAACCATAAAGCAGAGGGGAATTACAAATGTACCCATACCTGACGTCCAGAATCACTATGGGGGAGGGGGGGGTCACAGGCACTGATATTTGGGTGATGCCTGTTAGGACTTTAGCGCCTCAGCAGCCTAGATTGTAAATGCTTTCTGAATTTTACTTTTTTTTTTTTTTTTTTTTTTTTTTTTGCATGTCTTAGGAAGAAGCACATAGATGAAACCAGCAAAGTTTCCAGTAATGTAGAGGGGTTTTTGAGAATGGCCCCTGGCACAGAGGAGAGATTAAGAAAGGATGGAGCACATGTGGCCTATGTGCCTGGTCACTCAGAGGCCTCCATGCAAGTAGCAAATCAGGTGTTAAGGGCTTGTCAATAAAATGTACTTGTATTAGAAAAAAATAATCTGTATTTGAAGCCAAATGAACAAAACCCCAAATACCACTCAATAAGAAATCTTGCATGAAGAAAGCCTTCTGAAAAGGCCCATGTACTCCAGTTCCAGCTCCCAAAGCTGGTGGTGACAAGGGCCCAGATATGGAGCCCAAGTCTGGGAACACCTCATTTCTGGTTGGCCAGCGGCTGGGGTTCCATAGTGGGCCTGTCTCTACTTCAGAATCAATAACATAGATCTTAAGTGCAATTGATGAAATAAGCAATGAGTTACTGTAGCTTCCTTTAGCTCTACCGAGCTCTTTTTAAAAACTCAGACTTGAGCAGCCTTAGAAAAAGGTGAAGTGGGGTGGGTGGGGAGGGTAGGGGAACCATAGGCCATTTACTCCAAGTGGGTTGCTGTGAACTTTTAAATGAAAGCTCTAGATTGAGGAGCTCGAGCCATTTCCTGGCTGCTGCACAAAAGAGTTTTTAAAGAGAGTTCAGAGCCCGCACATAAAAGCGGGTCTTCCCACTGCGTGGGGCTCTACTACGTGGTGGTCTTGGTTTCTGACCATTGTCCACAGAAATGCTCTCTCACCAACTTGCCCCACTGTCCCAATTCCTCTGCTGTTAGAGGGAATACTGTGATTACCTCAACTTGAATATGAAACTGTGATTGAAAAAAGTCAAAACGTTAAGTTCCAAAGCCAAAAAGGCAGAACTGGCTGAGGCCTCTGGTGACGCTCCTCAGCTTTCTCGGGAGTGTAAAGGGGCACATTGGCGAAAGGGCATTCCTTGGGGGCACACTTGCTGTGCCCCTGGTGAAGAGGCACATTAGCTGTGTAAGCTCTTTGAGGACTGAAGCAGGGAGGATGCTCCCCCCTTGCACTGCCCCTTCTAGAACCTGCTGGGTGCCTATGGGTTCTGACTGTGAAGTTTTAATATCCACTTGATTCCTCTGGGAGCTCTAGGTGGAGGGACAGGGTCTTAGGCTGTCTCCAGAGGAAGGGCCATGACACTGTGTTATAGATTTTGACCTTAGGAGTGGATGCCAGGGACCCAGCAGCGACATCAGGTGTAGTAGATTCCTTAGGGAGAGGCAGAAGTCCTCCAGGGGTTTACGTGCTTTTTGCCAACTTTCCTATTAGCAGCTTCAGTTTTGTATCACCCAGAGTGAGTGTGATAACATTGAAGTCGCTGAAGTTATGGGTTATTTTACGTTTTGATATGGGATTTTTTTTTCTTTTTTTGATTGGAAGAAGGAGGCAGAAATTGGAGAAAAGGGATCACCCTGGGAAGGGACTGCTGGCAAGGAGTCCAACTGGCCCCATCTGAGCCCTTGTGGCTCTCTGACCTGAGGCTAGGACACTGGGCCTTGCTGGTAGCAAGAAAAAGTTCCCTCCTAAATTCTCTTAGGATTTTGGAGAATTTTTGCACAGTAATAAGCTCTGGGTTTGCTCTTTGGGCTTCTCAAAAGGGAAAAGTTAACTCAAAGATTGTAAACTATTAAGTATTCCAGCATGTTGCTGACCTAGTTGGATAGTTGTACCTCAAAAAGTAGGTGAGAAAAGGCTTCCTTGTCCCAGGTTGTCAAATAATGACAGAAGAGCTCACTTACGTGCCAAAATTCACTTTTATACTAGTTTTTCAGTGCTTTAATATTTGTAACTTAAATTTTAAAACTCATATTTACAAACACTACTGTAACTTCAGTGAAACTGAATTGTGTGATTGAAGCTTTTTGCTTATTATAGTATTTATTACACTACTTAATTCAGTAAATATATAAAAGTAGCCTTCAATTTATTTTTATATTATTTTACATGTTTTTACCTGCAGTTGTGTATGTGAATTTACCTTGGTAACTGAGATATCATGCTAAGGACCAATAAACTCACTGAACAAGCAAGACCTGGCACTGTTACCTGTTGCTGTGGACTCAGCCCCAAGGTGGGGCGGAGTTTGGGAAGGCCAATCCCCTGGGACTAGAGCCCTTCCTTGGGCCTCCCAGGGAAACAAACGTTCTGCTGGGCAGCTGGGGAGAGGTCCTTGGGGCACACATTCCCACCCCCAGGCCCCAGAAGGCTCACAGAGGGTAAGGTTCATGAAGAGACCCCCCTGCATGGGAGCGGGCACTCTCGACTCTCAGAACCCAAAGAGGGAATCAAGGAAGCTGGCTGGGGCCCTGGGAGGAGCTGCATCCATGGCTGACCTTGTGCTCTTCCTGGATAGCGGGGCACTGGTGTCAGTTCGCAACCCACACCCCAACTTGGCCAGGGTGCTTTACAAGCTGGACGCCCCAGGTAACTCCAGCCAAAGCTCCATGAGATGGCCCTTGTTACCCCTTTACAAATGGGAACAATCGAAAATGAAGGGCCCAGGGGGTGGAGGGGTGGGCCCGAGCCACTGCCCTGGCTCAGGGTCCTTCCAGGACGCTGCTCTGATGTTGCCCTGCCCCAGGAGCTTGGGAGCCACACATGCCCACCCAGAGAGAGGCCGCCCACAGGCCCGTATCTCTAACAGAGTGCTCACAGCACCCCTCTCCGAGAGCGGCAGGGGTCCCAAAGCCGGTGAGGCAGGCGCCACCCACACCCTCCTCTGGCCTCTGGCCTTGTGGAGAAAGAGCTGATTGCCAAGCAGAGACCCTGCTTTCTGTCCCGCTCTTGAGGCGAGGGGCCTCCGGACAGGAGAAGGGCTCCACAGGGGGATGGAGATCTGGCCCTAGGGGAGGAGGCAGCCTCTGCAGGCAGCCTCCCTCAGATGGTGGGGAAGGTAGTCTGAGGTTTGGAGGTTCTGTGCACTCAAGTAGTCATGTACAAACCAAGGCAAAACTGCATGTGAGAAACCCAGAGAATTGGGAGAGAGGGGGTGGCAGAAGCATCCCTTTCCTCAACAACCCCCTTCCCCAGAGTCTCCCACCTGGAGTCCCGCAAGGCCAGATGTGAACCTTGAGGAGCTCCTGTGCTTGGAATTGCTAGGAAACCACCAGGGTTTCGGGATGACCCTCAGAGTCCTCAGGGAGATGGGGGAAACAGTACATGTGGGGGGGGGTGCTCCTGGACGGGATGATCTTTGAGGGCCAAGAAGACTCAGAGGCCAGGAAGCCTGAAACTGGGAAAGGGGCCTGTCCCCACTTGATGGGAAGTGACTTGGAGCAGAGGGTCTCAGGTGGAGCTGCGGAGTATCACAGAGCCCTCTTGGGAGCACAAGAAATAGTTATGTATTCATTTCTATCACACAGTCTAGGAAACAGTCATGCCCAAAGGAAACATGGCAGTATGCCCCACTGCCAGCCCATGATGGAAAGGGCATGGCTCCGTTGCTGTAAGAAGAGTCTAGGGTGGTCCCAGCTTCAAGCTGGCCCTAGGCACTCAGATGTCATCAGAGCCTCTCTCCATACTTGGTGGCCTTACCCCCTCCCCGCCCCTGCAGCAGTGAGCTTCCTTTATGCAACCAGCAGCTCCAACACCCTAAAGGGAAGACCCAGCCTCCTCCAGAGGCAGCACCAAAGTCTGGGATCACATTCCCATCCCTGAACCAGTCACAATGGTCAGGAATATTCTGACTGGCCTGACCATGGGTCACTGTGCAAGGGCTCCCCAATATCAGGCCCACTGGGGAATCTCAGGCCCTCAAAACAGGCCTTGTTCCCTAGACCCGCATAGCAGGCCGTTTCTGAGCTTCTCTGTTAAAATCAAATACATACTTGATTTTTAAATTTTGCTTTCTGCTAGTCTTTTCTAGTACAAATGATAGCAAGCACAAAGTTGTCCTCTTGTGGTGGTAGTGATTTTTAACCAGAGGGAAAAAATATTTTCATCAAAAACATTCTCTGCAATAGGACCATTGCCCCCTGCAAACTGAGAAAAGACCACCATTGTGTGGTTTTCTAGTGCCTTAGTATACTCAGGGACACCGATGTTCCACAGGAACATGTTTTGAGAATCTTTTTTTTTTTTTCCCCTAAATAATAGGGACGCCTGGGTGGCTCAGTGGTTGAGTGTCTGCCTTCGGTTCAGGTCATGATCCCAGGGTCCTGGGATCGAGTCCTGCATCAGGCTCCCCGCAGGGAGCCTGCTTCTCCCTCTGCCTGTGTCTCTGCCACTCTCTCTGTCTCTCATGAATAACTAATATAAAATCTTGAAAGAAAAGAAAAAAAAAGGAAAGAGAGAAAGAAGAAAAGAAGAAGGAAGAAAGGAAAAGAAAAAGAGAAAAAGAAAAAGAAGAGGAAAGAAAGATCATATAGACTGTAATGTGGGGGTGGACCCATTGCTCCACACTGCCAGGGATGAGAAGAGGACTAACTGGAGAGTGATTCTGAAGGAACAATTGACAAGTCAAAATGATTAATTAGACGGGAGTGAGGGGGTGACCTCCAGGTAGAAGTGGAAAAAAACCAAAGTGGAAAAAAACCCAATGTTGTGAAACACTTCCAAAAACTTTTTTTATTATCCAAAAATTTGGAGAAAAATAAATTTATCCACAAATTATTCCTGTTTTCCCCAGGCTTCTGAAGTGCTAAAGTGACCAGCCAAAATAATTTAGTAAAAGGGATCAGGGTCAATACATTTTATGTCAAACTAATAAATGGCTATAAATCTGTTTTTAAAAGCTGCTATTCAGGGACGCCTGGGTGGCTCAATGGTTGAGCGTCTGCCTTCGGCTCAGGGAGTGATCCTGGAGTCCTGGGATCGAGTCTCACGTTGGGCTCCCTGCATGGAGTCTGCTTGTATCTCTGCCTCTCTTTCTCTGTGTCTCTCATGAATAAGTCTTTAAAATAAATTTAAAAAGCTGCTAATCAAATAAAATGTATGTGTCCATTCTAGCCTACAATTATTACTGCTTTTACCATATTAATAAAGAGGGTTTTTTTGTCTCTCTCTCTCTCACATGGCTGCAAATCTTTAAGAAACTTTTTATACATATTTACTCAGAAGTTTCATGCCTGGGAACGCCTGGGTGGCTCATCGGTTGAGCGCCTGCCTTTGGCCCAGGGCATGATCCTGGAGTCCCAGGATCAAATCCCACAGTGGGTTCCCTGCATGGAGCCTGCTTGTCCCTCTGCCTATGTCTCTGCCGCTCTCTCTCTCTCTCTCATGAATAAATAAAATCTTAAAAAAAAAGTTTCATGCCTGGATGAATGTACAATAGCAAAATAAGGACAACAGGAAGAGGAAAGATGATTTGATAACCAAGACTTCATGGAATTTTCTAGCTAAAAAGACTCCATTTCAACCTCTAGATTGTGACTGTAAGTTGATGGGGTCAGGGGTGGCTCAAAGAGATGTCCTGCTAAGGGGAGGAGGTCCTTGTTGGCCTCCACAGGGCTTCTTGCCCTCCTGCCTGCCCTCATAGGAGCTTAGATCTTTCAGTATGGATAGAGAGCAACAGGGAGAGGGTTTAATGCTGTATTAGTTGAGCACTAAAAGGTCTCCCTCCACCCACTGCCCATGGGGCTTGGAGATGCCCACAGGAGAGGAGGCTGAGTGGAGACTAGGTTCCTTCCCCCAGGCCACCAGCATCAGCAAGGGATAATGTGGGAACAACATCCCTCTTCCCAGGATTGTGAGGGGCTAGGAAGGCTGGTCAGGGCAGCAGGAACCCCAAGAGGCTTGTAAAACCCCAAATGACTCCAGGGAAGCCTGATGGCTGCGAGGTGTGGGGAGCCACACTTGCCAAAGGTCCAAGGAAGGGGAAAGCAGGGGGATGGGGGGACCAGAAGTAGAAATAAAAGGTTTTGGTGCCCTGACTGAGGAGTCTGGGGTGAGAGGAAGGGAGCCATCAGGAATCAGGGCTATCCGGCTGGCCCCCTATTACATGCAGCTGGAAAACTAGAGCAGGGTGGAGGATGGAAGGCTGCGCTGGCTTGAGAACTGGGGAGCTATAGGTGGAGACATGGCACAGGTTTACTGAGCACCTCCTCCACTGCGTGCTATGCTGGGGGAAGGCAACACAGCCTTGCTCTCAGGGAGCTTCCGTCTGGCCGGGGAGATGGGGCCCTGGCAGGAAAGTGGGAAGCGATGGAGAAGGATGTGCTGGAGTTAGGGGCCATGGGGGTGTGTGAGGAAAGGAAACGGGAACCACTCTAGGTGATACGAGCAGGGAAGGCCCCCAAGAGCCGAAGCATGACAGGAGCGGTGGTAAGGGCTCCAGACACACCCTCTGCACACCCAGAGGATCAGGGCCCTGAGGCAGGCCTAGAGCTGGCTGTGCTGAAGGAAGAGCTGGCAGCCAGTGTGGCAGAAACGGTGCTCCCCAGGGAGCAGGAGGTACAGGATGAGGTGGGAAATGGGCCCAGGCCACGTTGTACCGCACCCCCTATGCCACACCCCTAGGCCTATAGCAGTGAGACTCCTTCGCTGTATTTATTCAGTTTTGTTTTTCCTAACCACCATGAGAAGCCATTGTTGGTGGACGGGGCTGGAGGTGACAGTGGGCAGGACTGTGCTCTGTTCTGAAGGTAAACCCCACAAAATTTGCTTATGGATCAGACGTGGATGCCCAGGTCCAGAGCAGCCAGGTGGATGGTGGACTTGGAAGCTCTGTTTGGCCTGGGTTCCCTCAGAATTGCCTAGTAGCCATCCAGGCTGGGGGGACAGAGGAAGTACTTGTGGTGCCTTAAAGGCAGGAGCTCAGTGACAGGACTCATGAAATCTGAAGGTTGGCTGTGGCCAGTCCGGTCGAGAGCCACGGGGCCAGGGGAAGCTCTCCCGTGCTAGAGCTCTGTCCAGGAGGAGGGATGGATGGCATCGGGTCCTGCTGGGGGAGGAGGGAGAGCTGAGGCAGCTCCAGTGCAGGAGTGAGGACCAGAGCCCTATGAGGGGGTGGAAGAGAAGTAAGGAGACAGCCCGAAGACAGAAGAGCAGAGATAACTCTGGAGAAATGTGCTCTGTGACGCACGGCTGAGGAATCGGATGGTACCTGGAAGGGGAAGGGTGTCCAAGGGAGTGGTTTTGGTTTTGTGCTTTTATTTTTCTTAAAGATTTTATTTTTAAGTAATCTCTACACCCAACGTGGGGCTCGAACTCACATCCCTGAGATTGAGAGTTGCATGCTGCACAGCCTGAGCCAGCCTCATGCCCCTGTCTTGTTTTGTATTTTTGAATGAGATGTGATAGAGTTACTTCTCACTCCAGATTCCACAATCTATAGGCCCAAGAGGCTTATAGTGGAAACTCCTTTGCAAAGCCACTAAGTGCCCTGTGGAACCCAGCACTCAGGAAAGACTAAGACCCCAAGGGAGGGGATGAGAGGAACTGTGTGTGCCTATATTTGGATCCATAACTCCCTGCCCCTGTAAGGACCCAAGGGGGGCACAGGTGCTGACAGCCAAGGCACCTGTATTTGCCCCCAGCCTCTGATCCACCAAAGTAGTGGGTGGGAGACCCAAAGGCAACAGCTTCTCATGTTGAGAGGCCGGGGGATCTACAGGGGTTCTGGGGCTCTCTCCAGAGCAACTAGGGGGACGGGACCTGCAGGCACAGAGGGCAGGAAACAGAGAAGGCTCAGTGGCAGTTCAGAGTCAGGTCCATCCACCACTGGGTGAACTGGTAGCTGGGGACTCCTGTTTCCTCAGTGAGCTAATGGTGAGGTCCCAAATGAGGGCTGAGGCTGCCCCCCCAATCCCTGGAAGAGAGTTGGAAGGTCTGGGTATTTGAGAGCTGCTGCTGACGCAGGCAGACAGATGCAGAAGCCTAGACATTCCCAGGAGGGAGAGGCTGGGGGCAAAACAGGTGGCTTTTCAGGGGTCCAGCCCTGGTACCCAACCCCCCCCCCCCATCCAACCTTGCTACTTCCTTGGCTGTCATTCTGTCCCCACCCCACCCCCCACCCCGGACGACTCTGGAAGTCTGTGCAATGGTGAGGGTCTAGCTACAGGGTGTGGAAAGAAGGTCCCAAGGGTGGAGTACAGGGGTTCCCCAGGAAGATCCTGTGTCTCTCCCGGGCCCTGCTCAGCCCCAAGGGAACCTGCGGCCCACCCCCAGTGAGTCCTCTGCACGTGGTGGCGATCTTCTGGGGCATGTCGCCGGGTACTCCCCGCCCTCCCGACTCCCGGCCATCTGCATTCCGTCCCAGTGCACTGGCTCGCGGGAGGGGCTGGAATGGGTAACGCGGCCCACCGGGTGCGCATGGGGCTCCCCGACGCGCCAGAAGCGCAAGCCCGCCTACTGCTGAACCCGACCGCTCTGCCCCCTTCCACGCCTGGGGAACGGTGGCTGAGGACGCCTTGCCAGCGGAGGTTGGGGGGATCGCTGGCAGCCAGAGTGCGGAGGGCGAGGGGCGGACACTGGTGGGGGGAGCTCCTGCGTCAAACCGGGGCTCAAGGGCCGAGAAGACCCCGAGGGCCAGGCCCGGGGTTCGTGGCGTGGGCTGGATCTGCCCGGTGGTCGCCGGGCACGCCGGCCGGCCCGCGCGCAACACCGCCTCCCGACACCAACGCGCGCGCGCGCGCACACACACACACGCTCGCGCGTCCCCGGGTCGGGCTCCCCCTGTTCGGGAAGGGAAAGCCGGCGGCAGGCCCACCTCGGGAAGGAAAGCAGCTGCGAGCCAAGCCCGCGACCCTAGAGAGCTGCGGGCGCGCGGAGGCCAGGAGAGAAGCCGCGAGGCGCGCAGCAGCGCGCAGCCCCGACGCCGCCCAGCGGGGAGCGCCTCAGGCTCTGCGCGCGAGGGCGTCGCCCGGGGAATGCGCGCCGGCCCGTCTAGTTAGTCGCGGCGAGCTTCCCGGAGGAGGAGGAGGCCTCACCACCCGGCGGCCGGGATGAATGGAAGGGGCGGGGCAGCTGGCGGGCTAGGCCCGGGCTAGGCCCGGGCTAGGCCCTGCCGAGGCGGGGGGCGGGGGGCGGGGGGCGGGCAACGCGCTTAAAGCCGGCGCCGGGGGGGTCCTCCCGCGACCCGCGGCGGAGGCGCGACTTCGTGGGGGCCCTGGGCCCGTCGAGCTTCCCCCAGAAACTTCCCGGCCCCGCCCAGCCCCTAATCCGGCGACGCCTGGGCGGGCACGCGGGCTCCTAGGAGCCCGATCTACACGTTCTGGCCGCGTCGCCCCGGGCTCCCGGGAGCAGCCAGCCGGGTACGGACCCGAGCGCTGGTGAGGGCGGCACCGGGGCGGGGCGTCGGGCGGCACTAGGACCCAGGCGCGGCGCGGAGGTGTGTCGCCGGCTCCCGCCGCCCGCCCGCGACGCCCAGCTCGGGGTCCCGGGGCTCGGGAGTGAGGAGCCCGGGCGTACGCGCGTGCAGCCGTCGGGCCGATCGCCGGGGCCATGGCCGCGGCCACCCAGCGCATGTTCCACCTCCAGCCATGCGGTGGGTGCCCGAGCCGGGAGGCGCGGCGGGGACGCGACGGGAGGGCCGTCGTTCTCCGCGACAGACGGGTGCCAGGCGGGGACGCGGGGCCGTCGGAGCACCGGGGGAAAGCGGCCGCCGGCGGCCTGCACGGCGCCGGGCCGCGGTGGGCGAGGGGCTCGTGGGAGCCTCCCAGGCCTGGGACCAGGTGTGCTTGCGGCGGAGACAGCGGGAGCCCGGGGGGTACGCTGGGGGTGGGGGGGCTCAGGGGGCCTCGTGGACGCTGCGGGCTTGGCTTAATGCTCCGTCGCCGACTTGAAACTCTCCGTCTGGGAACCGGCGAGGTAGCCCGGGGCGGGGTGGGGCGTGCAGGTGGGCGGGACGCGGCTGCGGGGGCCCCAGCGGGGGCGCTGCCGCCTCGCGTCACGTTCTGCCGGGACCGCCGGGACCGCCGCGCCCCCCGCTCGGCGGGGAAGCCTGCCCGCTCTTCGGGATCCCGGGCCCCCGGCTGCCCCCTGCGAGGCCGCAGCGGTCTTTACCTCTTGACCTCGCGGCTCTGACCCCGAGGGCCAGCTGGGGTTTGTACCGCCGTTTTATTACCGGCACGTGGGGGGCCCAGGATGGGAGTGAGGTGTGCCCCGGCCCCGCCCTTCCGGACCCTCGTCCCCGTCGTCCTCGGCCCATCCCTGCGGCCTCGGACGCTAGCTTCACCGCCCCCGGCCCTCCCTCCTGGATGCAGCTCGGGCTCCGGTCCCGCGCGTCGGTTCGCATCCTGCCCCTCCGACCCCCAGGGTCTCCGCGTCTGGAGGCGCTTTCCTCTCGTGCACGCGGCCCCTCCCGTCGCTTCCTTCCTCGCACTGAGCCGCGCAAACAGTCGGGACCATCCGGGGCCCCGCGCGGTGAGCGCGCCCGGCGCTCCCCGCCCCCTCCTCCCCGGGGGACCAACGGCTCCGCCTCCCAGGAGGCCTGGGACGCGGGTAGCACCCAGGGGAGGAGGCCGTTGCCAAGTGGGCCCCCTGTGGCCCCGGGCGCGCGCAGTTGGGGGCGACGGCACGTGTGATGGGTGTTGATGGCCCCAGGGACCGATATGAGAGTGAAAGGCGCGATGTGCGGGCAGGAGGCCCCCCGCCCAGGGCCTGGGCTTGGCAGCGAAAGAGCGAGAGAGGGAGGCCAGAGAGGCCGGCCACCCCAAGGAGAGTGGAGGGACAGGCCCCCTCCCTCCAGCCCTGGCTGCCCGGGCCGAGTAACACAGTCCACGAATCGTGCCAGGGTACTGTGAATAATAGCTCGTGGAGGAAACATGCTGAGGTTCCCCCTGGCTTGGCTCACTCCCACTGGAGCACACAGGCTGGAGGATAGCAGGCTTGGCTTCCTCTGGCTCCACAGGGGCCCCTGCCTAGGTCTAGCCCCTGCTCCCTTTCGCCTCGGTCGGCCTGTGCTGGGTACCTGGGAAGAGTAAGAAGGAGTCCGCAGGGTTGGTGTAGGGTGGGGAGCAGCTGGCACAGGACAACGTCCAGGGCTGGTTCGTGTAGCTGGTAACAATTGTTGGGCTTCCCTTACAGAGTACTCGCCTTCCATCATGTCGCAGAATGGATACCTTGAGGATGTAGGTGAGTACCTCTGTGAGGGTGTGTATATAGAGAGCTCCTTGGTCAGAAGTCTCTAGGAGACCTAGTCCCTCCACCTGGGTACACAGGGCATTGACTACCCAGCTGTGGTCTTCTGCTGGTGCTGGGATGCCTTTAGATCCTGCCCTCCAGGAGGTCGTGGTAGGGTCAGGGGAGCAGCTGACACCACCTTAGCGGTCATGGACAGATCTCTCCAGTGGTCCCAGGCGGGTGTGTGGACCATCTGGTGACCTCCCTTGGTTCGCTGTTAGAATGCTCTGGTTACCTGGCCCGCCTTAGGTCGTGTCGTATATGCCCATACCCCTCAGTCCCCACCCAGCCCTCTGAGGCTGCCATCGCCCCTCTAAAGAAATGCAACCTAACAGTTCTGCACTTCAGCTTTCCTGCTTGCTCGAGACCAGCTCTTCCCTTTTCTCCGTGTCTCTGGGTTTTCCTGTGCCCAGACCTGGAGGCTGGCCTGATCATCGCTGAGGTGTTTAGTGGGATGGTGCTTGGAAAGAGTGGTGATATGCTCTCATCCTCCCCAGGGCTGGGGTCTGTGTGTGCCAGGCTGCTGGCAGGCAGGTTAGGTTATGTGTTGGGCTTATAGAATGGAGGTGGGGATATGGCCTCCTAGGAGCATTGTAGGGACCCAGTAGTGTCAGCTAGGCAGGCCCTAGGTAGAGCCCAGAATAGGGGGAGAAGAGGGCGGTGTGAAGGGCAGTATCCAGGAGTAACAGGGTGCTGGTGGGGGGACAGAAGGAGGCTGGGGAGCCAGGTATTGTAAGCAAAGCAGGCCTGGGACTGGGGAGGAAGGGGATTTTCATGGACATGAGCTCCATGACAAAAATGGGAAGGACATCTTTTCACTCTGAGCTCAGTGCAGACCTAGCACCTCCTGCCCAAAGGGCTCAGGATGAGCACAGGACACTGGGGGGACAGGGCCTGGGATGTGCAGAGGAAGCCGGCGGGCCAGAGTGGAAGTGAGTCAGGGTGAGTCACTGCCTGGCAGGTGTAGGCGTGCTGCTGACCCTTCCCCGTCCCTGCACAGGTGTTTGTCAGGCACTGGTGGGGTCTGGGCTCTCAGAACCCCCTTCATGGGAGCACTCGCAAGTGGTAAACCATAGAGGACCCACGGGAGTCAGGAGGGAGTGCCAGCAGGGCCCTAGGAGGACTTGCCAGAAGAGGAAGCTTCCATGGCACCTCAGAGAAGGCCCTCTGGGGAGGGAAGCCCTCTGTTCAAAGGACAGGCGCTGGCATGCCTGGGTGTTGGCCAGCTGGCCTAAGGAGTGACAGATCAGCCGTGGCGAGTGGGCCTAAGCTTGATGGACCAGGGGTCAGGACAGGGGTAGCACGGCCAGCACAAACTGTCATCTCAGAGGCCGAGAGGAGCCCAAGCAAGAGTGGAACATTTGCATGTCACCAGGAAGGCTTCCTCTATAGGAGGAGGGGGCCTGGGCTGCGAGCTGTGGTAGGAGCTAACCCCCCACCCCTCGAAAGGCTCTGCTCTGGAGGGAGTCATGCTGTGACACTCCTCATGCCCACCCTTGGGTCTCCCCTGGGGCTCCCTCCTATTTAGTCCCCGACTGTACCTCTGGCTCCCCTGCTTCCGGGGCCTTGTCAGATGTCTGGACCGAGTCTTTCAGCCTCCATGCCTTGCCCCACATGCCCTCACTGAAAGAAAGCATTCGAAAACCCTGTGCCCATAAGGTGGGGAGTGGGCTGGATACCACAGTGGTTCTGGCTCCCCTTGGGTTCCACCCAGGGAGCCGGGGGTGCCTGGGTCCCATAACTGGGGGTTCTGGGAGGGCAGGGCCAGGCTTAACTGTACCACTGCACCACCTACCTGGCCCAGAGTTGTGGCGCCACCGTATGTTTCTGTAGCTGGTGGGTACCCGTGGGTCAGCATGCAGGGCCCTGGCTCCTGCAGCTCACGGTTGTTGGAGAAAGCCGTCGGGTGAGGGCTGCCGGCTGGCGGCCGCTGTTCTCCGACGGGGGCCGGGCCGGGACTAGGTGTCTGCCTCCCCCGGCTTGAGGCTTCCTTCCTGGCCGACGAGAGGCCTCCGTCACCACTCCCTGGGACAGCCCAGGGGCCCCTGCTCCGTGGACTGGGACTCCCACCCTCTGGTGTGTAGCACTGACGGCCGGGTCCTCTTCCGGGGGGGTCTCTCTCGGTGGTGGCTGGGTCTCTAGGCTACCTCAAGTGTGACATGGATGATGCCTCTGAAACCCGTGAGGAGAGCCTGGGGGATGAGGCCTTCGACACGGTCAACTCCTCCATTGTGTCTGGCGAGAGCGTCCGTTTTTTTGTCAACGTCAACCTCGAGGTGCAGCCCAGCCAGGCTGGTATGGGGGTTGTAGCAGGGACCTGCCTGGGGGAGGACAGGGGACTGAGGACTGGGCCCCGCTCCACCTAGAGAGGCCTGGAGAGATGGGGTGGCACCCTGAGCCCTCCTGCTTTCCTCTAGCTGAGAGTGACTCGCCTGGCGGCTGTGGGCTCCTACACACCTCCCGCAAGGTGAGCGGCCCTTCAAGGACAGGAGACGCTTGGTCCTGGGCCACTAATTGGGGGCAGGGGGGGTGGCTGCTTCCCTGGGATAGCTCCTGCTGCCCCCACTCACACCAAACAGGTGTTCCACGCCAGCCCTTGACCTGGCCTTGGGCCAGCCAGGCTGGCCCCTCCCTCTCGGAGGGGGTGTTGGTGCCAGTGGGCAGAGGCAGCCGGGGACCCCCCCATGGAGGAGGGGCCCAGGTCACGGCCACAGATCTCACTCATGGGCCTGCGTGATTCTGTGCGCGGGGGTCCCCGCAGTACCTGAAGTTAAAGAACTTTGAGTTGGAGATACGTGCACACCGGGACCTGGATGGCTTCCTGGCTCGGGCCAGCATCATCCTGAACGAGACGGCCACCTCGCTGGATGACGTGCTCCGGGCCATGCTCTGCCGCTTGGCCCACGACCCCAACAACACCGAGCCTGACTGCAACGTGGACCTGTTTATGGCCATGCTTTTCACCGATGCCGGGGCCCCCACGGAGGGGAAAGGTCTGACCTGGCTCTGCGGTGGGGCACAGGAGGACAGGGAGGTGGGCCAGCAGATCCTCTGACCCCCCTCACTCTGTCCTCAGCCCACCTGCTATCAGATACCATCCAAGGGGTCACTGCCACAGTCACAGGGGTGCAATACCAGCAGTCCTGGATCTGCATCATGTGAGTGGTCAGCCTGGCCCACCCAGTTTGGGGGTGGAGAGTGTGAGCACTCTATTCTGTTTGGTCTTCGCTCCCTAAGAGGTCACGGGGCGGGGGGTCAGAGTTTGGGGTCCTGGGGTGTGGGGGAGCTCAGCTCCCAGGGTGGCAACTGTATGCACTCCTGCCCCCGGCAGCTGTACCTCCAAGGCCCTGCTGAAGCGGCACGTGTGCATCAGCCGCCTGGTTCGCCCACAGAACTGGGGGGAAAACTCATGTGAGGTGCGGTTCGTCATCCTGGTGCTGGCTCCACCGAAGATGGTGAGTAGGGGCCTGCAGGGGGTTCTGTTTCCAGAGAAGGAAGGTTCCAGGGAACTTGGCCCTCCCTCTTCCTGGGGGCATCTCCCTCATGTCCCAGAGGCCCCCATAGACCAGGCCCCTGCAGGCCTCATGCTCACACTGTCCTTCCTCTCTGCCCTGTTGGGTCTCCCCAAAGCCTCCTTGCGTCCTCATCAAGCCCTCATTTCCCTAGTCGTTGCCCAGAAAGTTATATTTCCCTCTTGGCCAAAAAGAGATAACTTGTTAAGATTATTATTTTTTCAAAAGATTTTATTTATTATTCATGAGAGACACAGAGAGAGAGGCAGAGACACAGGCAGAGGGAGAAGCAGGCTCCATGCAGGGAGCCCGATGTGGAACTTGATCCCGGGATTTTAAAATGTCCTGACCCAAGGCAGATGCTCAACTGCTGAGCCACTCAGGGGTCCCACTTCTTAAGACTAGTATTAGTCAAACGTGGGGGCTTTTCATCGGCCTGCCCGGACCCTGATCCTTCTTCCACTTGGCTGGCTTTATGACTTGCTGGCCAAGGATCCCCACTTCTGCCCAGGTCCCACACCCCCTGGTCAGGCGTCTGGCTTTTGTGGTAGTTGAAACTGATATAGTCTGGGGAGTCTTATTTAAGGGAAAACAATTTCAAAATCATAAACAGAAAATGGTTAGGGTGGGGCACCTGGGTGGCTCAGTGGTTGAGCATTTGCCTTTGGCTCAGGGTGTGACCCAGGGGTCCTAGGATCGAGTCCCTCCTCAGGCTCCCTGTAGGGAGCCTGCTTCTCCCTCTGCCTGTATCTGCCTCTCTGTGTGTCTCTCATGAATAAATACAATCTTTATTTTTTTAAAACTTTATTTATTTATTTATTTATTTATCATAGTCACAGAGAGAGAGAGAGAGAGAGAGAGGCAGAGACACAGGCAGAGGAAGAAGCAGGCTTCATGCAGGGAGCCCGACGTGGGACTCGATCCTGGGTCTCCAGGATCGCACCCTGGGCCAAAGGCAGGCGCTAAACCGCTGAGCCACCCAGGGATCCCCTAAATACAATCTTTAAAAAAGAAAGAAAGAAAATGGTTAGAGCCTCTCCCCAGAGGCTTAACTTCCACTAGCTTCTTGATCCTGCCCAGGCCTCTGATACAGGCTAAAGCTTTGCACGGGCTTCCTCAACAGGTTTTCTCTTAGGCAAAGTGGGCACCAAGGGGAATGCCCTCCGGGGACTTCATAGATGTGCTGTGAACCTCCCCGAGTGCTGCAGTGCTGGGGAGAGGGAAAGGATATTTAGGGAAGTGGGCAGCACATGGGTCAGAGGGAGTGACAGCTGGTGAGGTGGACAGGGAAGTGGAAGGGGCAGTAGCCCGGGGGGCTGAGTGGCTACACTGGGCCTTGTGACGGACCAACCAGCCCAGCACCTGGCTCCTGCAGAAAATGAGCCTGACTGAGTTGACAGGAAAGCCAGGTGTGGGTGGGCCCAGCCCTGTGACTGCGGCTTCAGGCAACACCTAGGGGCGGACACTGCTCCCAGAGGACAGGTTGCCGTGGGGGAGGCTGGGCCCTGGGTTCACGGACAGAGGTGACTTTGGTCAGGCAGGAGAGAGCAGGCTTGACAGGCCTGGAATCCCCCTGAAAAAATCAAATCAACCAGCAGACACTACAAATACCACTAGTCAAGTGGAGCTGGGTAAACATTTTTCTCCATCACTGTGATCTCTATCCACGATTATACATATTTGTGTTCCTCGGGACCATACCCATACCTCAGTTTCTGGGCACATGAGTTTATTAAGGAAATTTGGGGGCTCTAGTGATCTGCCAACCTGGTGGAAATCACTGCAGACTCCACTGATGCTTGAACTTTGAGGGACAAAACTTGCTGCCAGCTCACATGGGGGCACCTGCTGCGTGCTCAGGCCTGTCAGTGACGGCCGGGGCCGGGGAGGGGTGCCCTCCACTGTCCAGGAGCTCCAGGTGGGATTCTCCTGTCTCCTGCCCCCAGAAAAGCACCAAGACAGCCACAGAGGTGGGGCGCACATTCGCCACCATGTTCTTGGACATCACTTTCCGCCAGAAGCTCCTGAACACCCGCACGGAGGAAGAATTCAAGGAGGCTCTGGTCCATCAGAGGCAGCTGCTCACCATGGTGAGCCAGTGTCCGACCCTGGGCCCAAAGGGCTACAACATGAACTCCATCTGTGTGCACAGATCCCCGCAGGTACTGGGAGAGGCGGCCTGGGCAGGGGTGTGGGGCCTGGGCCGCGGACCTCCCAGCTGACAGACGTCTGTCCTCTTCCCCAGCCCCTGAAGCACAAGGACTTCCTCCCTGTGGGGAAGGGCATCCGGGAGGATATCGCTCGCAGGTTCCCCGTATACCCACTGGACTTCACAGACGGTACGTGGCCCCGTGGTCCCCATCAGAGCTCAGCCGTGGCTCAGGTCCCTGGATGACACATGTGCCTGCCCTGCACCCCCAGCACACTTTCCGTCCTGTCCTGTCCTAGGCATTATCGGGAAGAACAAGGCTGTGGGCAAATACATCACCACCACCCTGTTCCTTTACTTCGCCTGCCTGCTGCCCACCATCGCTTTTGGGTCCCTCAACGATGAGAACACAAACGGGGCCATCGGTGAGGGGCGGGAGGCTGTGGGGGTGTGGGGGGAGCCCCGAGGCTGCAGTGTCCCCCTGACTCCTCACTGGTGCAGATGTGCAGAAGACCATAGCGGGGCAGAGCATTGGAGGCCTCCTATATGCCCTCTTCTCTGGGCAGCCGCTGGTGGTGCTGCTGACCACTGCGCCCCTGGCTCTCTACATCCAAGGTGCGGTGGCACTTGGGGTGGCGGGGAGGTGGCTCCCGAGGTCCCTGGTCCCAGCCCGCCCTGACCAGCCGCCTTGTCCTGCTGCCTGCAGTAATTTGTGGCATCTGTGACGACTACAATCTGGACTTCAACACCTTCTACGCATGGACGGGCCTGTGGAACAGTTTCTTTCTCGTGCTTTATGCCATCTTCAACCTCAGTCTGATCATGCAGCTCTTCAAGAGGTGACTGGGCTTTCTCCGAGCTGTTGGGATCCTGGAGCGGGAGGGAGACCAAGGCTGGGGATCTGGATCAGCCCCCATGCCACCCGCCGAGGTCCTGTGCCCCCACTATATCACTGGCCCAAGAGAAGCGAGGTGGGAGGCTGTGTAGAGCCTCAGGGAAGCCTCCCCCTCCTCCTGGCTCCCTGACAACCCCCCCCCCCCCGCCATTTGATGAAGCATTGCACTTCCACGGCAGGTCGACAGAAGAGATAATTGCCTTGTTCATTTCCATCACATTCATGCTGGATGCTGTCAAGGGCATGGTCAAAAGTGAGTGTCTAGCTGGTGGCTGCCTGCTGCCAGGGAAACGGAGCTGAGCTGGGGGACTTGGGCCTGTGGCCAGAGCAGCCCAGCAGCACGCAAGCTACGACTACTTCCATGGTCCAGGGTGCTCTCGGGAGCTGACCGGCAGAGAGCAGCAGTGTCATGGGCTGGAGGGTGACGGGGCTGCCTCAGGCAGGATCAGAGGCATGAGGCCAGGTGTGAGGCACTGTCAGAGATGGGGAGGGGTGGATGGACAGGCAGGTCAGTGGGGTCCTCTTGGCTGACAGAGGCAGCTCCCTCCCCTTCCCCCCAGAAGCCCTTTCTTCCCACAGGGCCCCTTCTCTCCCACATCCAGGAGAAAGCTGGGCCTCAGCCCCCCAGAGCCCAGATGGCTGAGGCCTGGTGGCCTGTATCCACAGTCTTCCAGAAGTACTATGACAACAACTTTGGAGACGACAACACAGACAGCACTTCCTTGGTGAGCCTGCTGGGCCTCGGCACCAGCCTCAACACAACCCTCCACACTGCCCTCAACACCAGCCTCCTCGCCAGCCCATCAGAGCTGACCTCCATGGGCCGCCACACCGAGCACCCAGGCCGGGAGACCGCTGTGCTCAGCCTCCTCATCATGCTGGGCACGCTGTGGCTGAGCTACACCCTCTACCAGTTCAAAAAGAGGTGAAGGGGGTCTAGGAGTGATGGGAAGGAAGCACAAGCCCCCGGGCCACACTGACACACCCACCTGTGTCCCCAGCCCCTACCTACACCCCTGCATGCGGGAGATCCTGTCAGACTGTGCCTTGCCCATCTCGGTGCTCACCTTCTCCCTCATCTGCTCCTACGGCTTCCGGGAAATTAAGAGTGAGTCAGGATCAAGCAGGGGGTGCAGTGGGATGGGATTGCCATGGGATTGCCCTTGGGAACTGCAGGCTTGAGCAGGGGCCTATACTCTGCTGCAGTGAGCCAGTTCCGCTACAACCCCAGCAAGAGCCTCTTTGATGTAGCCGAGATGCACTCCCTGTCCCTGGGGGCCATCGCCAGCGCCATGGGCCTGGGCTTCCTGCTCTCCTTGCTCTTCTTCATTGAGCAGAACTTGGTGGCTGCCCTGGCTAACGCCCCAGAGAACAGGTTCGCAGGGCCCGGGTGGGGCGGTGAGAGGGGAGTGTGCAGCCAGTCCTCCAAGGGGCCACAGGTGTCCGGCCACATGTGCCCTTGTCTGCTGCAGGTTGGTGAAGGGCACTGCCTACCACTGGGACCTCCTGCTCATCGCCATCATCAACAGTGGGCTATCTCTGTTTGGGCTGCCCTGGATCCATGCTGCCTACCCCCACTCCCCACTGCACGTGCGGGCACTGGCTTTGGTGGAGGAACGTGTGGAGAATGGGCACATTTATGAGACGTGAGTGGTCCCTTGAGATGGGAGGCAAGTCACGTGGACCCTGAGGTTGGGAGGGGGGCGGGGTAGCCCTGGGCCACATGTGACCTCAGAAGGAGTGAAAGAGCCAGGGAGCAATATGTGGCCTGCGATGGGACCCGGCCCCGTGGACCAGGGCTGGAGGCGATCTGGTGCTCTGGGCCCATGCAGGATTGTGAATGTGAAGGAGACACGGCTGACCTCCCTGGGTGCCAGCATCCTGGTGGGCTTCTCCCTCCTGCTGCTACCCTTTCCGCTGCAGTGGATCCCCAAGCCCGTGCTCTATGGTCTCTTCCTCTACATCGCGCTCACATCCATTGATGGCAACCAGCTCTTTGAACGTGTGGCTCTGCTGCTCAAGGACCAGGTTAGTGTTCTGCTGAGAGAGAGGTGGGGGGGGGGGCGGGGCGGGTATGGCTCCAGACCCACAGCTGGTCCCTGCCACCTGCAGACCTCGTACCCGCCCACCCACTACATCCGGAGAGTGCCCCAGAGGAAGATCCACTACTTCACAGGCCTGCAGGTCCTACAGCTGCTGCTGCTCTGTGCCTTTGGCATGAGCACCCTGCCCTACATGAAGATGATCTTCCCTCTCATCATGATTGCCATGATCCCTATCCGGTACGGGAGGATGGGCAGTGGCAGGAGGGACCCAGCTGGCGGGGAAAGAATGGGTTAGGGCAGGGGCAGTGGGGCAGGATGTGCCCAGCCTGGCCCTGCGAGGGGAGCTGGGACAGATCTGACCCAACGCTCATCTTGGGGTCTGTTCTCCCTCCCCCCAGCTATAACCTGCTGCCCCGAATCATTGAAGCCAAATATCTGGATGCCATGGATGCTGAACACTAAGGCCCTACCTGGAAGGGCCAGACATATTCCATTCACCTGTCCCCCTGGCTCTTCCCAGGCTGATTCTGGCCATGTGGGGAGAGGTTTGGGTGTCTTTTGGGGTGTTGCTCTCTGCCGCACCCCCTCCCAGCTACTCCAACAGGCCTAGGGCATCTAGGCATGGGGGAGGGCGGGTTCCCACAGTATGTGCCTATCCCAGTCCCCATTAGCCTTTCGCTTGGATCTCTAACACTGCTCAGGACAACTTCTGTCCAGAATGGGACTAAGCAGGACGGATTTTCTTTTGATAAAAGAGTCAGATGTCTGAAAGAGAAACCATTTCCTTGATTGTGTAAGGAACTTGCTGTATGCACACTAGAGAATAAAGCTCCTATTTCTATGCTTCATCTCTGCTGTCCCGTCGTGCCCCAGCCTGAGGGCCACTGGAGAATAACAGTAGAATGTAAAGGGGAGGTAGAATGAAAAGGACCAGTGTTAGTGGAGTGCCACAGGCTGTCACCTCCAACCCCACACAGTGGATATTGGCTTGGTGGGGAATGGTGGAAGATCCGGGAGGCCCCAGCATTGCCATAATGCCAAGAAACTACAGGGGAAGTATTCCAGGAACAGCACATGCAAGGGCCCTGAGGAGAGGGGTTGGGGCCAGTGAGGAGCCACTGCTGGTGAAGAGATAAATGGGGCTGACAGCCCTGGACCTGGGCTCCCAAAGGCAGCTGCAGAACAGCCCAACAGATTGAAAAACAGCCTCATGTAGGTCAGAGCCACCACGGCAACGTATGCCCTGCTAGGTGCTCTGTGCAGAGGGGAGGCACAGGGAAGGGAGCATGGTGGGGGCGATGCAAGGGCTGCACCTTGCACCAGGGCACGGATAGTGGGGGTGAACAGAAGTGGAGGAATCCAATGGCAGGATGTGAGGACTGGTTTGATGGAGGTGAGAAGGTGCCATGTTTCTGGCTTGGTCACTTGGTGATTGGCCAGAGTCCGCGGCAGCAGGGAATCGGGATCTGGGACTCAGCACACCCTGTGCTGTGCACATCTGGGAGCACCAGCAGTGGTAGAGCAAAGGGCTCACAGTCCTTACAGGACTTTGGCTTGACAGATACACCACAGACCACAGAAGTAGACGGGGGAAGACATAATAAAAAGACTAATATCTGGATATGCTAGGAATTCCTGCAAGCCAACACATTTAAAAAGACTCCGAGTTCAATAGAGGAGGCAAACCTGTGAAGGGGTGGGGCCTAGGAGGCACCCAAACGGTAACAGGGGCAGCAGGAATTCTCAATGCCCTTGGCCATTTGAGGAATGCAGCCCAACAGTGAGATGGCATCTTCCACTTGTAACTGGCAACAACAAGCCTACCAAGTCCAGATGGGTGGCCGAGTGGGAGAGGTGTGTGCCCTGGTGCACAGATGAGGGGAGTAGAGGCCGGTACCCAATCAACATCGCTTATCCTCCCACTGTGCAGCTCTGCTCCCAGGCAGGTGGGTGTGGGGACAAGCATGTTCACAGTGTTCACAGGGATGGGTGGCTGAAAGTTAACAGAGGGGGACAGTGCCTGGGGCCTTACCCCACCCATGTGGCACATGATCCTTGGGGGCCTCTCCCCAGTGGCCTGGGTGTTCCCTCCAGGTAAAACCATATCCAGCATCACCAGGTGGGGAGAAGACGACTCAGAGGAGACTGGGTCATTGGCACTTCCTGGGGAAACAACCCAGCTGAGCCTCACTGCCAATGGGAAGCAAAGGAATGATGTTCTCTCTTCATACACACACACACACACACACACACACACACACACACACACACACACACACGGTTGCAATTTAGGGGAGGAAACTATAGTTAAACTCAGGCCCCCCCCAAAAAAATAAATAAATAAAAATAAACTCAGGCCCCGAGGATCCCTGGGTGGCTCAGCAGTTTAGCACGGCTGCCTTCGGCCCAGGCTGTGATCCTGGAGTCCCAGGATCAAGTCCCTACATCAGGCTCCTCGCATGGAGCCTGCTTCTCCCTCTGCCTGTCTCTGTCTCTGATGAATAAATACAATATCTAAAACAAAACAAAACAAAACAAAAACAAAAACCTCAGGCCCCAGCCACATTGCCAGGACTGAGCAACAGAGACTGGAAGTGCCATTCTCTGGACCTGACTACGAGCAAAGAAAATATGCCTGGGAGTGACACCCCTCACCAAGCACTGCGTTCCCTCCTCCCACATTGCATACAACAGGCTTCTCTGAATATCCTTGGGGTGGGGACCTCCTCCTCACCAAAGAAACACCTGCAGGAAAGGTCCCTCAGGTCCCTCCTAGGACCTGGGGCAGCTGAGACCCACTTCCTGAGGGGCTGAACCAAGTCAAGTCAATGCAACTGGGATCGGGACTCCATGCACCCCCTCCATAAAAACAAACTTGGCATTATGATCAAAAATCAACATTTTAGGGGCACCTGGATGGCTCTATCAATTAAACATCCGACTCTTGATTTCAGCTCAGGTCATAATCTCAGGGTCACGAGATCAAACCCCACGTACGGCTCTGCGCCCAGCAAGAAGCCTGCTTGAGATTCTCTCTTCCTCTGCCCTTACCCACTACACACTGTTTTTCTTTAAAAAAAAAAAAAAAAAAAAAGAGAAACCCCACTCCAACATTTTAGCTGCTCTAATGTTATAATGAAATACAGCCCAAGCATTCACCATCCTGTACTGCCCAGCCCCAACCCAGCAAAAAGCATGGAGATCAGCTAGAGGGTGGCATCCCTCCATGGATGGGTGGGCACCACAGGTCTGGGATAGAAAAGGTCAGTGCCTGAGCCGAGACAGATGCAGTACTCCAGCGAGTAGGGTCATGCAAACACCTTCGGCTGCTACTCTTGTCCCATTGCCCCCAGACCCTAGAGGTCTCCTGCTCCTGCCAAGAAGGCTCAGGAGACAGACAACCTCCGGGAGCAAGTTTCAAAGCTGATATATCCAGTTTATTCTGGAGGCAAGTGCCTTCCAGTATTTTTATTTCTTCCACTTTAAAAATGTTAAGGGCTATTTGTGTGGTTCTTTCCATACTCTGGATCCTGCCATGACCAGTTTAACATCCAAGGTCCTTTCAGGATCCCAGGCCAGGAGGCTATAGGAGGGACCGCTGAATCCCCGAGGGCAAGAAAATAGTGTCCCTTATCCCAAGTTTCTCCAAGCAGAGCCAGCTGCTCCTCCAAACAGGACTGGTGAGGTTGTCTCAACACCCCTAGGAAGGTCTAACCCTGAAGGCAGTACCTGGAGGGCTGCCTGTCTGATGGGAGAGATGGCAAGCTAGCCTTCCCCAGATCCCCTGCCAGGGCAATCATCACCAACTACCGGAGGAGTGAGGCTGCCAAAGTATTTCTGTAGCTCAAGCAGGGCCCGGAAGCGATGGGAGATGGCATTCTTCTTGGCTTTGGGCATCTCTGCATACCTAAGGGGTGACAACAGCAGTTCAGAGGAGCCTAGATTCAGGGTTCCCTCACCTGTCTTGCAGCCCAAAGCTCCAGGAGTTGCCACGAAAGGGTGGTGGGGCCATGAGCTCCCAGTAGCCAGAGTTAATTTTTAAAAAACCAGAGAGTTTTAAATTCCCCTATAGGCAGAAACCCGTATTAACGAATGTGGAAGGATGTTAGACTTGCTCTAGTGTGTCCAAAAGTCATTAAGGGAAGCTAGGGACAGGGGGATGAGCTGCATGTTTGATCAGCTTTGTCATCTGTTGACAGGAAGCAGTGGGGCCTGACAGAGCAAACACAACAGTCTCCTGTACTGTGGGGGTGGCATGGGACAGCCGGCCAGCGGCCTCGCCTCCATATCAGTACTTCAGTGAGGTGAGAATCCCACACGCCACTGTGTGCTTCAGATCTGTGCTGTCCTGTATGTGGCCACTAGCCACAAGGGGCCATGTAAACTGAAATCAACCAGAGCTGAATAAAAATAATTTCGGTTCCTAAGTCACCCTAACCACATGTTAGATTGAACAGTGTAGAGATAGAGCACTTCTCTATCTTGCATTCTTGGATGGTGCTACTTCATGTTACCCTCAACCCTGTCTGGCTACTGTGAGGCCTCAGGTCACCCTCCCTAAGGGCCCCTGGAACACTTGATCCTAATAATGGCCAATGTACATGGCCAGTGTAAGTAGAGGGGGGTAGAGGGGTCAGTGTGAAGTACTGAGAACTCTTGGCACTGTGGGGGTTTCACAAGGTGCCCACTAAAGGCTGCAAGTGTTAACATTTTTCCAAACTGAACGGGGAGATCAGATCATCCCATGAAACTGTCCAGTTCATACATAACAAGCCAAGGGCAGAGAGCAGAAGACACTAAAGTCACCCAGCTGCTATGTGGCGAACTGGAGCCCAAGAGCCCAAGAGCCCAAGAGCTCCCAGCTGTGCCTGGCTGCCGCCTACACTGGAGACTGGCCCACTCACATTCCTTGCATCCACCCCAGCAGAACCGTCTTCAGCTGGAGCAGCACCTTCGAGCCTGTTCCCACCCGGATATGCATGCCCACACCTGGACAGGGTGCTGAGCCAGCCCCAACCGTGGTTCTCCCAACCCCATATCCCTGGAGGAAAATGTGGCTCCTTACGTCTGCTCATATCCATCAGGTTGAAAGCAGGGGTCCCAGCCAAAGTCTCGGCAGCCTCGGGGCACTACAATCCGGCCCTGCTAGAGGAAAAGGGGGGGGGGAGTCTGGTTAGGTTATGTATTTGGCTAAGCATTTACTCAAAATATGTGGTTTCAAGAGGTCCATGGTACCTGAAAATGTTTACCAAGTATATAAATAAAACACTGTGGGACAACCCTCTCCCATTGCACACATAAACACGCACATGCACACACACACAGAAAACCACAAACGTGCTCAGCCCACTGGTGTCCCTGGAGCTGCTCTCCGTCTCTACAGCTTGACAAACTGTGAACTCACTGAAGAAGAGAGTCAGCTTGGAAAAACTGACAGAAAACATTTTCTCTTCCTAGGAAGTTATGACGAGGCACCTGAGGGGCTCAGTCGGTCAAGCGTCTGCCTTTGGCTTGGGTCATGATCTCACAGTCCTAGGGTGGAGCTCTGTGTGGGGCTCCCTGCTCTGCAGGGAGCCTGCTTCTCCCTCTCCCTCTTGCTCCCCTTGCTTGTGCCCTTTCTCTGTCAGGTAAGTAAATAAAATCGTAAAAAGAAAAAAAAAAAAAAAAAAAGGAAGTTTTGAGGCCCTGAACTATACAGACAAGCCCTATGCGTGCTACTCATTTTTATTATGTTAAGTGTGAAATAAATTGCTACATTTCTCAAAATGCAACTGAGGCTCTAACAATTAAATGAAGAAACAAATTATTTACCACAATGTCCAATACATCAATGAGTTCAGTAAATACTGACTATAATACGCAAATTCCAACAGGAAAATGATACCAAGAGAACCAATTTAATTCAACACCATGAGAGGTCATGTTGCCATGAAGGTTAAAAAATAAAAATCTAAAAAATACAAGGGAGGTACACCCGGGTGGCTTGGCTGAATGTCTGCCTTCAGCTCAGGTCATGATCCTGGGATCCAGGATTTAGCCCATCTCAGCAGGGAGTCTGCTTCTCCTTCTCCCTTTCCCTCAGCCTCTTCCCCTGCTTATGCACATGTGCTCTCTCAAATAAGTAAAATCTTTTTTTTTTTAAGGTTTTATTTATTTATTCATGAGAGACAGAGACAGAGAGAGAGAGAGGCAGAGACACAGGCAGAGGGAGAAGCAGGCTCCACACAGGGAGCCTGATGTGGGACTCAATCCCCGGTCTCCAGGATCACGTCCTGGGCCAAAGGCAGGCGCCAAACCACTGAGCCACCCAGGGATCCCAAATAAGTAAAATCTTAAAAAAAAAAAATTTTTTTTTTAAAGATTGTATTTAAGGAGACAAAATAATGAGCATAGTTTTACCAAAGATAATGAAATACCGCATAATGTCTGCATCTTACCATTGATTTGAGTGCATCCTTAGAAAACTGAATGTTGGGATCCCTGGGTGGCACAGCGGTTTGGCGCTTGCCTTTGGCCCAGGGCGCGATCCTGGAGACCCGGGATCGAATCTCACGTCAGGCTCCCGGTGCATGGAACCTGCTTCTCCCTCTGCCTGTGTCTCTGCCTCTCTCTCTCTATCTCTCTATGACTATCATAAATAAATAAAAATTAAAAAAAAGAAAAGAAAAAGAAAACTGAATGTAACAAAAAAAACCCAACAAAACAAACCCAGGACATTTTTGGAAATTGTATGCTCTCTAGCAACTTTGTGTGAATTTTTATACAAGCACTGTTTTAGGGGTTATATAAAATGCTATAAAAATAAAAAATAAATAAAGATTGTATTTATTTATTCATGAGAGGCACAGAGAGAGGGAGAGAGGCAGAGACACAGGCAGAGGGAGAAGCAGGCTCCATGCAGGGAGCCCGACGTGGGACTCCATCCCAGGTCTACAGGATCACGCCCTGGGCTGAAGGTGGCGCTAAACCGCTGGGCCGCTGGGGCTGCCCTAAAATTTTTTTTTAAATATATAAGGAAGGGGAAGAAAATGGGGATTAGCCACATAACTGCCACCTTGTTCAAACCAAGGCAGATTCTGCTAGTGCTGGTGGGGAGCTACGTGACTGAGGCCTATAACTGAGCCACTTTGGACCTCATCCACACCACAAAGGGTTTTGAACATCCACAGTGGGGCAGGTAGTGCTCTCAGCACTGGTATCATAACAAACCTGGCCCTGCCCTCATCAAATGGACCTCTTAAGCAAAACAGGCTTTTCACTAGTAAACAAATTAACAATTACAAAATGCAAAGTGCCTTAGAAGGAACAGGGAGCTGGGCTCAGGAATAACAGGATGGAGTGACCCAAATGGGGAACTCAGGAGATGCTTTGAGGAGATACTTTGGCCACATAAAGTGATGGGCAAGAACACTCCAGGTGGAGGACACTCCAGGTGGAGGACACAGCTGCTGTTGGGACCCAAGATGGGCAAGGCTTCAGCATACATATTGTTGAACGGACAATGTGACTGGGTTTATAAAGCTTGAGTGAGAACAAAACAAAAAGAAACAAAGCCACCTCAGGTAAAGTAGAGGCTGGGAAGCAACAAAGTACATGAAGCAGCCAGAGCTGGGGAGACAATTAGGCATAGTGGGGACCCTAATAGTGGGTCACCTCAATGAGCAGGCCCCATCAGCAGGGATAGGACTGTGGTTGCTCACACTTCTGATTTTTTAAAGAATATTTTTGTCAAAGTAGCAAATGACTATATTCAACCCAGCAATTATGTATGACCCAATAGTCCTGGTTCTGGGTATATATCCAAAAGAACCGAACACAAGATTTCAAGAGATAACTGGCGCACCCACGTTCATAGCAGCATTATTCACAATGGCCAAATGTGGAAGCAATCTACATGTCCATCAACAGATAAATGGACAAAACAAATGGGTATATACATACAATGGATGTTACTCAGCTGCAATAAAAAGGAGAAACTCTGTCACGAGCTACAACACAAATGATCCTTGGAAGGACATCATGCCAAGAAATAAGCTGGCCACAAAAAGACAAATACTGTATGAAAGATTCCAATTGTATGAGGGGTTGGAAGGTGCCAAACTCTTAGACATAGAAGTAGAATGGCAGTTGCCAGGGATTGGTGGGGAGAGGGAAAGGGGAGTTTTTGTTCTATAGGTATAGTTTCAATTTTGCAGGATGGAAAAAGTTTGAGCTCTGTTGCATAACAGTGCACATATAGTTAATACTACTGTACCGAACACCTAAAAATGGTGAAGACGGTAATTTTTATTTTTTTTTTTTTACCACTATTAAAAAAAAAATGGGATGTTTGAGTGGCTCAGGGGTTGAGCATCTGCCTTTGGCTCAGGGCGTGGTCCCAGAGTCTTGGGATCCAGTCCCACATCGGGCTCCTTGTAGGGAGCCTGCTTCTCCCCTGCCTATATCTCTGCCTCTTTCTCTCTCTCTCATGAATAAATAAATTAAATCTTAAAAACAAAAAAGAACCATTAACCAAGCAGGGCATCACGAAATGTCTGTGGACAACCCCCAGTGGAGCCTCTGGGGTAGGACTCTGTAGGCTACTCAGGACTCTGGATTTTATCATGAGCAGAAGGGACTGGTGGAGGAGTGATGTGCCAGAAGGCACAAGGTGGGAATGGCTTAAAAAAAAAAAAAAAGGTGGGAATGGCTGTGCTGGGGGTGGGGAGCAGGCCAGCTCTGAGGGTGGTGTGCACTCTGGGAGAAGTGACTGAACACAAGGGTCTGACAGGCAGACGTGGCTGTGGTGAAGGGTAGCTAGGGAAGGAATGAGCAGAGGAAAGTAAGATTCTACGGGAACATGAAAAATTGGAAGGATGGGAGATTCTTACGAGAAGCCGTAACCTCAGCACTTGGATAAAATGTGAGCTGAAAAAAAACTGGGATGTCCATGTAGTTCTATTCAGCTTTCACGTCTGCTTCTTAGGAAGGCACACAGCGCAGAGCTCTGGCTATACCAGCCCTCAACAGCCATGAGCCAGTGTGTATCCCTGAAACGCCAGCCTCAGAGGTCAGACAGATTTCAGGACTGACAGCACTTCTAGGTGTGATGCCCAGGGACATGTCTGGGCAAAGCTCTGGGAACTAACTGGCCACCAGGGACCTTCCCACCACCCTCCTGCCTTCAGCCCTGTGCCATTGGCTCGTGCCGCAGCGCCCTCTAGCGGCACACGGGGGAATCACAGTAGGTACGCACGGAGGTCTGGCCCCTGAACAGGCGCACTGGCTCACTGGGGTCCCCGGTGCTGAATGCGAAAGTGCAAAGTGCATAGGCAGACTTGTCCTCGAACCCTGCCAGGAGCTGGTGTAGACCTGCGAGAGGAGTATAGTGATGTCTATTCAGCTCAACTCCCAGCCTTACTCCCCACCCCTGAGGTCCTGGAGGGGTAGTCACCAAATTTGGGGAGCTTACATGTCATCAGATAGATTCTCTTCTATTACATGTCTGAAAAGCTCCATAACCTAAAGTGTTTTTACAACCACCCAAGGAGGGAACATTCTGGCCCACAACTGTGACAGGGTATGCACTGTCAGAGCCCCAGAGAGGCAGCCAGCTCCCACCCCCTCGGCCAGGCCCTGGTTGAGGCAGACAGGCCAGCAGTCAGTAGGACTAGCTCTCTCAGCCAGAATCAACTGCAGCCTTTCAAACTCACAGCCCCCAACACCCTTCCCATCCACTCTTTACACATCTCAGAGCTCCCTGGAGCCAGGTATGTGGGGAAAGTCTAAGCCACAGGTTATAGATGGGGAAACTGAGGTGAACACAGGCTCCGTGGTGGGGGCTGGAACCTGAGATTCCTGATTACTAGTTGGGACCCCTCCCCTGGACCACTTCTGAATTCTCAATTCCCAACAGATAAAGGAAGAAATAAAGGAGCTTAATACCTTCAGGCTTTAACTTCTCCAGAAACCACTTTCTGCAAGAGAAATAAAGGTGAGTCAGACACCAGGAGCAGACAGATCTTCCTACCATCTTCTCCAGGCTGCACCCCCCCCGGGGGGGGGGGCATGATAATGTCTTAGCTCAAAATGAAGAGAAATAACCCAATAGAAAAAGGGATGGAGGTAAACAAGCAATGCACAGAAAAATCAATAAAACCTATTAAGGCCTTAACCTCATTGGTAATTAGGAAAATGCAAATCCAAACCAAATGTGGTAACATTTCACATTCCCCACACTACAGAACACTAAAGTCCCAATACTCAGTGCTGGTGAGGATATGGAGCAATACATATGGGTGCTGTTGCCTTGGCAAACATACTGGCAATCCAGAAGTTCAAACTAAACATACCCAAAACCCAAAAAGCACCTCTGTGCACATGCCTTCCAACCCCAGCAAGGAATATTTAAAGTGGAGATATGTGTACCCTAGAGACACACAAAGACCATCTGAGGGTGTCCAGGGCATTGGATAGTTTTAAAGAAATCCATTTTCAGATATCAACTTCCTTATTTCCTTTTTCCTGAAATTGATCTGCCATGAATGGATTTCTCTAGGGGGGGGGAGTGGGGGTTCCATTTGCCCATCTCCAATTACACAATCACATTCTCACACTTTACAAAAGAGAGAAAGGCATGCCTCTCCCGAATCCCTAATCCTTCCTCAGGACAATGTGAAATATTGGTATTGACACCAAGGCCATGAATGACCCACAATATCAGGTAACCAATCAGTTCAAAGTTTGGGTGATCTTGTGGCCAGGGCCCTACAAGGGGGTCAGGGACCACTCACATGTAGGGACCAGGGAGGCCCCCAAGGGCGTTGAAGCACAGACAGGTGTCCTCCACCAGTACAGGCCCCTGTACCTGCAACACAGGGGACAAGAGCCTGGGACCTGGGACCAAGAGTAGTCCCTGCCCTGAACCTGAATTCTCAGGCCACCCCAGCTGGGGCCAGACCCACGGCTAATTGGGTTCCATAGTAGTAGCAGTTAACAGCTATAGAAAACAGCCCTTGGCTAATCTCTTATCCTCATTTTACAGATAGGAATACCAAAAACTTGGCAGATTGTAAAGCTTACTCCAGGCACAGCAAAAGCAGTGGGATTCACACTCAGACACTGTGACTCTCCATAAAGTGCTCTTCCCAATTCCAGAGATGTGTGAGTGCAGGGGTTGATGTGTGTGGGGAGAATGTAGGCATTGGAATATATGTATCTGAAGTTGGAGACAAGTGTATGCATGTGTACGTGTGTGTGAGCGCACACAAGTGCTGATCTAAGAGAATTAGGCAGTAAAGGTGGAGAAAGAAAGGTAGTATTCCTGGGTCGACATTAACTGACTCCAATCTAGCTAGGCCTAGACAGGTCCTTGAAGTTATGACCAACTGTACCCACCCTACTCTCTGCTGAGCCCAGCAGGCACAACACCCAGAAGCCACCAGGACAAGAGGGGCAAGTATGGGACACATAAGGAGCAAGCACCTGGCGAGCTGCTTCCTGACACTTCTGTATGGAAATCTCATCAGGCTCTCCCTGGTACTCCGGCACTTATAGGAGAAACATATACAAAGAGAGTCAGGTCACAGGGAAACAGAAATCAAACCATCTTTCAAAAAATAAAACAAAAGACAAACATACGGTCAATTTTCTGTGCCACCAAAGTGCATGGAAACTTATCTCCCAGAATCTGAATGACCTGTTCCAAAATGAAAGAATATTTATCACCATTTGTTACAATTCCCTGTTACTACAGAAGCTGTCACCCACCTTTCTTTTCAGGTAACTCTCCTGCCAGCCCCGTAAAGCTTAGCAAGTTAGGCCCAGGGGCCTCACTGCAGACTGCATGGTCCCACTCTAGCAGGCCAGCTCCCCCAATTCCTCAGTCTCCTACCCCTCCTACTTTAGGTCTCTCTGCTAATGTTAAATCCCCACCCAAAATCCCTCATCCCTTCTCCCTGCTCCCTAAAACTCTACATAACCTCCTATTCTGGCAATTCTCCATGAGGGGTTATCCAGAATTCAAGAGGCCTATGAACCCAGATGGAAGAAAAAAAAAATGCCTTTATTATCACTAAACCCAAGTTGAATTTAGCATCTTTCAGTTGTGAATATGAAAAACCAAAATAGCATCAGCAGTTCCTGTGACTTTTCAATCCATTAAAATCACAGATGTATCTCATTACAGCTGTAGTAGATTCTCTCAAAATATTTTCAACCCTATTTTAAAATTATAGTAACTACACACATGGGTAGACTGACTCCTTTAATACATTAATAAAGCATATGTTAACTAGATCACAAATATTTACATTGAGAATTGTATCTTAAGAGAATTTCCTTTATAATTGCATGTATTTTACTTTGTACCTTTAAAAATATTTTCCTGAAAAAGGGTCCATAGGCTTCATCAGCCTTTTTTTTTTTTAAGATTTTATTTATTCATTCATAGAGACACATAGAGAGATAGAGAGAGAAAGAGAGGGGCAGAGACACAGGCAGAGGGAGAAGCAGGCATCATGCAGACAGCCTGACGTGGGACTCAATCCAGGGTCGCCAGGATCACACCCTGGGCTGCAGGTGCCACTAAACTGCTGTGCCACTAAACCACTGCACCACTGGGGCCGCCCTTCATCAGCCTGTCAATGGAATACTATGAGATGGGGCCACTGGGTGGCTCAGTTGGTTAAGTACCTGCCTTTGGCTTGGGTCAAGATCCCAGGATCCTGGGTTCAAGCCTCACATCAGGCTCCCTGCATGGAGCCTGCTTCTCCCTCTGCCTATGTCTCTGCCTCTCTCAGTCTGTGTCTCTTATGAATAAATAAATCAATCTCAAAAAAAAAAAAAAAGGAAGACTAGGAGATAAAGAGTTAAGACACCCTGTTCTTTTTTTAAAAATTTTTTTTAAATTTTTATTTATTTATGATAGTCACACAGTGAGAGAGAGGCAGAGACATAGGCAGAGGGAGAAGCAGGCTCCACGCACCGGGAGCCCGACGTGGGATTCGATCCCGGGTCTCCAGGATCGCGCCCTGGGCCAAAGGCAGGCGCCAAACCGCTGCGCCACCCAGGGATCCCAAGACACCCTGTTCTAAGACAACTTCAAGTTCATCTTCTCCAGTAAGCCTCCTCTGGCCATTCTAGCCCCTTAAAATGTAGGTGGCCACATTCGCAACCAGAGACGGGTTTGGGAACTGGGCATCCACTATCCTGCATGGGGCTCTTTTCAGGGTGGCACTACTTGTCTGTTGGACTGGCCTGGCCCGGCCTCAGGATCCCAAACTTTTTATCAGCCCAGGGCTCTGGTTCTTGAGTAGGACACCCTGTACTGGCACAGAAGTGCCATCATTACCTATGCTGTGAAGAATCAAGGGGTTGGTACCCTAATGACTAAGTCCCACTCGTCTGCCTCAGACATACCTAGTGGATGTCAACACAATTCTGCACCATGACCCACCTCTTTGGCCATAAATGAGCACGGACAAACCCTTTTCCCAAGCAAGGCTAGTGAGAGTTAATCTATGGCAGAAGCCTCACTGTCCACTCCACCAGGAGGGAAGTAAGCAGAAAAACGCTTACTAGGAAAGGGATGAGCATTCAGAGAACTACAAAGGCAAGATAGGCCCTTGGGACACTCAAGTCATGGGGGGACATCCTTACACTGGTATTCCCATAAGAATCACCTGGTGGTTTACATGAGTTCCCTGTGTGTCTCTATTACTTGCACCCAAAGGCTATCAATCCACCCGCAGAATCCTCACTGCTAGGCACAAAATTCCCAGAAGCAGGAACTTTGGATTTTTTTTTTTGCCTTCTTCACTCCTCCCCATTGCGCTGTGAAAAAGATCTTCCAAATCATCCCCATTTCACAGAAGAGGAAGGAGGCTGAGGATCACATTTCTGGACAGGGGTGGGGCGTGGACCGCCCAGTTTGGCTGCCCGACCCACGCTCTGTCTGACCCCTGCCACCCCAGGTCGGCAGCGGGGTCTGGATCAGCTCCAGAGTTGTGTCAAGAGCCCCGGTGTGGGGTCCAGCCTAATCGGGGATCTTTGGGTACTGAGGACCTGGCACTCCTTTGGCTCCCGCAGCTTCCGCGCTCGCACGGCCGGATTTGTCAACGCCCTAGCTCTATCAAGGCCAACCACCCGCCGTCCCCACTCTGCACGCACGGCCGTTTCACTCAGCGCGGCCCAGCCTGTTCCACGCGCCCGGGGCCGCCCCTCCATGCGCACTCCGCCTGGAGGCTGCTTCTCCGCCCGATCCCCAGGGGGCCCTACCACGCGCTACCCCAGCCGCCACTGGTCGGCCTCCCGCGCCCTCCCGGCACCTCCTCCAGCTTCTTGGCGTTCCCGGTGACAAACACGATCTTTTTCCCCGCCAAGGGGGCCGCCATGCTGACTCCGATTACCAAGCCGACCCACCGGAAGCCCTTTGCCTCGAGTGGCAGGAACTTCCGCTGACGCGGAACCCGGCGGCGCAGCTTCCGGCGTAGGGCCCCAGCCCGGGGAACGCTGGGCGTCCGGCTTCCCTGCTCAGACCCAGGGCACTCCGCTTGAGCAGCCTGGGGTCCCGAGCGCTAGAAGGGAGAACGGCCCGGCCATTCCCGTCCTCAGTGCTAGCCACAAGATTCCCAGGAGCAGGAACTTTGGATTCCGTCTGCGCCGGAATGGCGGGGTCTTCCCGAGACTGGCGGTCGAGCGCGTTGAGACCATGCCCTTCCGCCAAGGGGACGTCTCTTCCAAGACCAGAAGAGACCACTGCAGCCACCGGCCCCACCTCTGCTTTCTCCCCTCTCTGGGAAGGGGGCATCGAGGGAAGCAAAGAACCCGCACGGTAATGAGCTGCTGTCCGGTGCTCTGGGCGGTTCGCCTTCTCCGCGGGCACCTCCAAATCTACCTGCGAGAGCTGTGTCCTTCTGGGCAGGGGCTGCAAATCTGGATCTTTATCCTGACCTCACCTCCAGCCCCACTCCGTTCTTTCCTTGCCCGCCAGCTCTGATTACTTTGTGGATTAAAAAAGGAATTTGTTTTAAATGAAGATGTAACTAACATATAACGCTATGTTAGTTTCGGTGTACGGTTTATAATTTGGTATCTGTATACACTTGGAAGCATTCACCTCAGTAAGTCTGGTTAACATCGATCACTTTACATAGTTGCCTGTTTTTTTCTTGTGATGAAACCTTTAGATTTTACTCTCTTAGCAACCTTCAAATATGCAGTACAATATTGTTAACTACAGTCAACATGCTACCACGCTGTACGTCTCCAGGATTACTTATTTTATAACTGGAAGTTTATGCCTTTCATCCTCTTTCACCCATTCTCCCAGCACCCAGCTACCAATCTGTTCTCTGTATCTCTGAAATTATTTTCTTTTTAGATGACTACTTGCCTCTGAATTTAAATTTAGCACAGCCTAAAGCAAGCCAGGTCTTTTCACCCATCTTCCAGGCTTGGGACCTCAGTATTTCAACTCCCTCATTCCCTCATCCCTACACCTTCTCGCATCCATCATGCCTTCTCCATGCCCGCTCCCTCAGCCAGATCTTTGCATCCCAAACACAGTGGAGGAGTGCAGAATGAGATGCCTCAATATGTGCCCCTTTGGCATAAAGATTATTTTGCGTTAAAAGTAATAAAAACAGCAGATGCAGGAAAGGCTCTTGCCTCCACCATAACTGCAAAAATTTACATTGGAGAACTTGCAACTGGAAGAAAAGTATTAACAGACACACACCCACACACCATGAAGTAATTATCTGCATAATGGAGCAACCTTGTTTCCCAAACATCCCTTTTCACCTTCTTTCTAATGAATTTTTTTCCCCTTTGTATGCTTGAGCCCCTACCCCTTCTCCTTAGTTCTTGTAAGCATCCTGTTGCTTCATTGTCATTGGAATGTCTTCGTGGATTCCTTTTACACACACCTATTAAATTTGATTTTCTCCTCTTAATCTGTCTCCTGTCAATTTGATTGTAAGTCCAGGTAGAAGGACCAGAGGCAGAGGAGAAAGTCTTCCCCTCCACCACAGTAGCAAAGGGTAGAAAGTGCCCTCAGCAGACCCACCTGTGACAGGCCTTGATCCACTGCTGACACCCCCATTGAATAAGCCACCTGTCTCCTTCCTCCAGGGACTCAGCAAGCACAGACTAACAGCAAGGGCAGATTCAGGGCCCCTCTCTCCTGGTGAGGAAACCCCTGACAGAGGAAACTCAAGTCAGAGGTCTCTCAGTGCCTGGATGAGTTATTTTGCTTAATGTTCTTGTCTCCTGATAATCTCAAAATCTTGTAGACCCCAGGATTTGTCAGGGAATATCAAAAAACCTTTGCTCAATGACCTTACCATAGCAAGATATTGCATAGGCCAAAACGCATTGTCCTTAGGTAGTCCTGAAGTTCAGGCAGTCTGATGAGGCAATGTGGTCTGAATGTAGTGGTTGTTTTTGGTTTTTGGGTTTTGTTTTTGTTTTTGTTTTTTTTTGAGAGAGAGAGTGCAAGTGATAGAACATGTACATGTGGAGGGCAGAGAGAAAGAGAAGCAGACTCCCCGCTGAGCAGGGAGCCCACAGGGCTGAATGCCAGGACCCTGGAATCATGACCAGAGCTGCAGGTAGGATGTTTAACCCACCGAGCCACGCAGATGCCCCAAGATCAGACCGAGTCGAAGGCAGATGCTCAACTGGTGAGCTACCCAGGAGTCCTTAATTTTTAGTTTAGTTTTTTTTTTTTTTAAGATTTTATTTATTTATTCATGATAGACACAGAGAGAGAGAGAGCAGAGACACAGGCAGAGGGAGAAGCAGGCTCCATGCAGGGAGCCCGACGTGGGACTCAATCCCAGGGATCCCCTAATTTTTAGTTTTTAATAAAACTTTTTATTATGGGAAATCTCAAACTTAACAAAAAATAGAAAAGAGCACTATAATGAGCCCAAATATACCTATTACCTAATTTTAATAATTTTGAAATTTGCTATTTTCATTTCACCCATCCTGGCTTATTTGCTTGCTTCAAATTTAAAAATGTAAGGTTTTTTTTTTTTTTTTTGATTTTATTTATTTATGAGAGACACACAAAGAGAGGCAGAGACATAGGCAGAGGGAGAAGCAGGATCCCTGCGGGGAGCCTGATGCAGGGACTCCATCCCTGGACCCCCAGGATCACAACCTGAGTCAAAGGCAGAGGCTCAACCTCTGAACCACCCAGGTGCCCCCAAAAATGTAAATTATGAAATATTCCAGAGTTAGAGAAAATAATAAAATAGATGCAGAAGTTCCCACTATTCCAGTTTAACAAATATTGAGATGCTCACATGGTGCCATCTTTTTTCAAATCTTCCACTTCATATCGTTTGTCCTTGGATCTTTGTGTTACACACACACATAAAGTTTCATATTGCTGTTACAGCAAATTCCCAGTAGTTGCTATTTGCTTTTTCAAAAATTTTGAGTTTATATCCTGTCCCGTTTTTTTTTTCCCAAACAACTTTGCTGAGGTATAATTAGTTCCTAGTTTCTAAATAATTCTTAAGAATTAAAGAGAAGTTCATTGACAGATGAGTGAATAAATATGTGATATATATATATATATATATATATACATACACAATGGAATATTACTCAGAAATCAGAAAGGATGAATACTTACCATTTATTTACATTGATGTGGATGGAACGGAGGAACTGAGTGAGATAACTTAATCAGAGAAAGTTATATGGTTTCACTCCTATGTGGAATATAAGAAAAAGTGCAGAGGATCACAGGGTAAGGGAGAGAAAACTCAATAGGAAGTCATCAGGGAAAAAAAAAGAAAGTCATCAGGGAGAAAACCCATGAGACTGTTAACTAAGTTGAAGGAGGGGAGGTGGGTGAGGGGGATGGAGTACCTCTGTGATGGGCATTAAGTGGGGGGGCACATGATGTGATGAGCACTGGGTATTTATTACATGCAACTGATAAATCACTGAACACGACATCTGAAACTAATTTATGTTGGTTAATTTAAGTTAAAAAACAGGGAAATTTAAATTCCCCGTGGGTACTTAAATTTTGAGTGTTTATTCTGGAAAACTGGGTTACTAATTCTTGTATTAGTCTAATAAGGCTAATTTTATACTAAAATAGGTCTAAAATCGCAGGTCTGGTCACAAAACTATATCACAATTTATTTAAATAGAAGACTTGAAAACCAAAATAAATATAAGATTTGGTCTCTTCCCCTCCCCTCTCCTAAAGAAATGATATGTCACAGATACAGGCAAAGCTCTGCCCTTAATCCCATTAATTCTTGTTCCTCTTCCTAACATCCGTCCTGAAGTTGATGTGTATCATTCCTACGCATTTTTTTTTACTTTTTCTACATGTGTTTCCATAAATACGCTGATATTTCTTAACGATTTTTAAAAGCATGTATAAATGTTGCACCGCATAAAATCGTTTATGAGTATGCGTCTGCCCCCCAAATTCCTTTTAGAAAACGGTGGCGTCCGTCTGGAGTGTGCGGCCTGGGCGGGGCCCCGCTGGGTGGGCGGAGCCTGTGGTGGGCGGAGCCTGTGGTGGGAGGAGCCAAGCGGCATTGGGCGGGGCCCGGGAGATCCGGGGCCTGGGTGGACGCGCGGGTTCAGACTGGAAGCCCTTGTCATGGTGACCCCCGTGGTATACCTGGTGGCGGCGGCTTTGCTTGTCGGCCTTATCTTTTTTCTGACTCGCAGCCGGGGCCGGACAGCAGCAGGTAGGAGATGCCGCCGCTCCAGGGCCGGTGGGGCCGCGTTCTTTGGCCTCCTGAGGCTTGGTAGGCCCTCGCACCGCGGCTTCTGCGCATGCGCCGGCTTGCTGGCTGGGCTGACGGAAAGCTCTGCGCGGAATCGCGCTCGTCGCGCTTCAGGCCAGCTGCGCGCGTGCGCGTACCTGCGCGTTGGGGAGCCGGCGGCTAGCTGCGGTACCGCAGCCCTACTCCCGGACGGGATGGCCCCGCTCCTACACCTTTCTCCCAGCCTCAGAGAGAGCCTCGCTCCAATCCCCTTCTCGGCTCCTCCCTACCCCGCCCCCCCCCCCCCCCCGGGCATCTCCTGACGGACATTCTCCCATCCCTCACTGGGGCTGTCCCCTTGTGCGCCCCTAGCAGAGGCCGCAGGGGTGTCCCGTCCTACCCAGGCTGGCTCCAGAGCAGGTGCCAAGAAGGGAGCACCTGAGTCTTTTGTTTCTACCCACGAGCTGTTACTCCCTGAAGCTCTTTCCTTCCCCCTCAAAGACAGCACCAATGCGCCCTCCTCCCTCTTCTGCACCCCGACCAAGAACCCGTGTCTTTTGCCAGGGTACAGAACAGATATGCCTGTCACCCTGCATCCTCTATTTCTTGTCAGTCGGTAGGTTTGTGTGTACATCTCTCCTCGTCTCTGAGCCCACAAGCAACTTCAGAGCACCTACATGCTC